ATACAATTATTTGAATGAATCACTACAACAGCTGCCTGCATCTTATTATAAAACTTGTGTTGTAAGAATGAGAATTTTGTGCTCTTCTCCATCCAGAAAGTGATAGTCTGTAACTCTAAAGTAATTACAAATTTTAGGAAAGTGTTAAATTGACCTCCTGGCCTTAAATGTGGATATAAAATAAGTCATTTTATTAATTCTAATATTACGGGTAAGTCCCGCCTTCCCTTCTCTTAGCTATAGTTCAGAATCCACGGTGCCGTCGAGGTTAACCAATCGAGTCATGCCAAGGGCTGTCAATCATCGGCGCAGATGCTCGCAGCTGCGCGCATGCTCAGTTGTTTGTTTTTACGGAGCCTCCGAATCAAGCCTCTATTAGGCTCTGGAACTACATGAAAACTGAACAAAGAATTCTGAACATCCGCGCTGAGGTACTTATTTATATACTGAACCTATATCCATAATCAGATCCTCTGCAGATGTGTCCTATAATGTGCAATTCATGATAATAGCACTTCCTGGTTTGCCTGGTTTTTGTGCATAAAAACATTGTTTTTTTCATTAAAACGTTAACAAATAATTCTGAAAACCTCCGTGCATGTGTATTAATAATGTATATGTATAATGTGTTCTCTGATTAACATTTCAAAGTGTTACGGAAACGTAGGCGTAGACCAATCAGAAAGGAAGGGGGAGGGAGCTTGCGTCGTTTTTTTCAAATCAAGTACTTCTCTCTGTCTCTTTCTGACAAACTCCAGACAATCACTTTAACGTAGGATGATATGGAGGCTCATCCAATATAAAACAAAGAAATGCAGCTTTAACAAAAGTACTGTTGGTAGTGAAACTCATATTTTTATATTTTACAGCGAGATTATTTATATCACATTTTATGTGGCAAAACTACTTACAGTTTCTTTAACTGTTTTTATCCATTTCATAAAAGATATATATATACTATACATATAGGAATCTGTTATTTAAACACATTGGTAAGTAGTAGTAGTAGTACCACATTCACCAGAAAAAACAGTGATCGAAAGACAAGGCACTCTCCTCTCAGTTTGCGAGGACAAATCGGCAGTTGACTTTCCTACGTTACAATGAAAATTCCATGCCCTTTTCATTCAGATAATAAGATACAGATTCTGGACTAGTCTGGGAAAAAGTAGCCTACACTTATTCACCAAATATATACAATATGAAATTATGTTCACATAACAACTAAGGATCAATAAAAAAGGCTCCTAAATTAAGATGGTGTCCTGAGGCATAGCAATAAAAAGCATAGTAACAGAGATTGGTCGTCTGTCCTTGAAAACACAGGTGATTCAAGGACGGTCTGTCAAATTACTTTATAATCCTCTGAGATCTGTGTGTGGGGACAGTGTGATATGGAGCTGGTGGACAGATAGTTTATGTGTTGGGTACGATTTGTGCTGAAACAATTAAAAAGTTAATTGTGTATTGTTTTTTTTAATATTATTGCATTACTCTTTAATTTTCATTATGATTTTTTTTTTCTTTTCACCCATTTATATTACACTTTATCCGTTGCCGGGTTGCATGGGCAGCTGTCTGAAGCACAGACACTTAAACTTCCATCTTCACTTCACACTTCTGCTCATTCAGAAGAAGGTGTTCCCTGGCTGGCGTGGGGCCTCCTCCTGGAAGGACATCCCTTTAATATCCTCTTATGCTTAGGCTGGCTCTCAATATGGAGAAGCGACTCTACTCTGAGCTCCTCATGTGTGACTGAGCTCAAAGATCATGAGCACAGGTGAGGGTGGGATCGTACTCTCACCGCACACGCTGCGCCGACCCATCTGTCAATCTCGTTCTCAATTGATTTAGTTAATTTTTAGTGATTAAATTGACATTGCTTGATTCTGTTGTGCAATGAGTGCACAGAAAGAATTGTGGCCGATGCTTTACATGGAGCTGTCTTTAATATGAATATGATGAAAAAAAAGATTTTAATACATTTGCTAAGATTGAAGTATGAAGTTTAATTATTGTGTTTTGCAGGCAATCTCTAGCACAGTGCTTCCCAAAGTGGGGTCTGGGGCCTTGTGTAGATGTCTTTTGATTGATAAGAGACGGCCATTAGACTTTGGGAACAGCTGTTCTAACTTCTCAGTATCTTTTGAACGATACTTTTAACAGCATGCTTTTAGTGACAGAATTAGCTCTGAGATAAGAAAATTTTAAGTTCTACACTAAAGCCAGGGTAGGTTCATTTGTGTAAAATTATTCTCTAATGTGAATGCACTTCTTAATTATACCCACTTCAGATTATTCAAGCCGTTTCACTTTGGTATTTGAGGTAATTCCTCAAATGTGTATGAGCGCTGAATTAATGTAATGCTGTTTGTTTGGTAAAAAATGTCATCCTGGAAAAGTTCTCATCTGTTACAGCTGTCTTTAAGGAACAGCGTGCATGAGATCCCTATTCAATCAATAAGGTCCGTGTCTGATTTCACAGTGAGCAACCATGACTCAGTGTAAGAACTGGCTCAACATACTACAGCCATTTCCTGAGTTTAATGTCTAGACATTGATATATATATATATATATATATATATATATATATATAGATAAAGTTCCTTGCTCATTTTATGGAAAGATTATTTTTGGCTTATATCAAAACAAATCACTGTTATACAGTCCAGACCATCCATTAAGAGTTAATGTGTTCACTTCCGTAGAAGGACCTTAAAGCCACAGTTCTTGGGGCTGTGTTCGATGGTAAAAATAGAATCCAGGCAGAATGGATGGAAGCTATTTACAGTCTTCCAAATTTCTGTCGCAGTCCTCAGCTACCTTTACTGTAGTCGCTCTACTACTATAATGGTTATAGCACAAAATCCCCTCAGCTTCCCCCCCAGTGATTACATCTCACACTTATAATTATAATTCTCATCATGTCACTGCAGTACAGTATCACAGACAATCTGTGGGAGTGTGAAACCCCATTTACATTTCCTTTTTCATTTATTTACACAGGTGATTTGACCACCGCAAGTAATGAGGGGCTTCTCTTGTTTTATGAAGAGACGGGTTTGTTGGTTTTTCAGTAATGACCTACTTATTTGTGATACTGCTACAAATACAAAGTCCACAACAAGTGCAGTGCAGTTAGTTTTAGAATTTCAAAACAATAAAGAGCTGTAACTAACGATTATCATAATAGATTCCTTATTTAGTTAAGATTCGCAAGAGATAAAACTGAAATAAAGCTGTGCGAACTGGTCATATTTTTGAGATATTTACACATTTCCATGTGATTGGTATAGTAGTCATTGCTGTGTTTGAGTCATAAAATGAAGTCTCCAAGTACATGCATGTGTTGGACCCTCACAGAGGTAAAAGAGCATTTAAGGGTTAATCGATTGATGAAATATTGGCAATTATGGAAAAAATGATGAGATGTGATGAATTGTTTCAGTTATTGCAGAATTTTTCAGCTAGCAATGACCGGTTTGCTATTATCTCCAAGTCGAAAGCAAACGAGAAAGAGTGTTGCATAACTGCTCAGGAAATTTAGGAGATTTCTATGAAAAGGCCCTTTATGTTAGTGAATAATGGCGTATGAATCTTCTCTGAGGCTCAGTGATATGGAGGATGAACAATCTTCATCCTCCACCATTCTGATTTTAGGAGCAAACACTGTATATTGAAAGAAGTATACCCTGACCTACTGTAATGGTTGTTATGCACTCAAGCAATAAGTCAAGTTTTTTTGTGAATGCTTTCATGTGCTTTTTAGAGCCACATTTTCTACCACTCATGAAAATACTGACATTTAAAAAGTGTTCAGTACCGCCCACTTATATGAGCCTCTTCTGAACTATTAAACCGTTATATACTAGCACTGCTATGCTTAGAAAATGTGAATGCCAAATAATGAAAAATGATTGCACCATTGTCCAATTTTCAAACAAAATTAATTCTACAGATTTTGAATTTATGGGAATAGTATGCATCTTTAATATTCATTTTTGATTAGTTACGTTTTGTATTTTAGGCATGAGCAAACCAGTTAACTAAGTAAACTAAACCATTTCAGTGTATGACGTGGTGACAACGTCTTAAGCCTGTTTTAACCTTGTCATTTCCTAATTTCAAAGTCACTCCATTACCTGCACTGTAATTTAGAATGTGTGTACTTTTTGTGTTGTATTCTTTTGTTATGATAATGATAATTATTAAGATTTGCATATGCATGCCTCATCTATAATACTATTTAATTACCGTTAATGCACCCAAAGAAAATTCCTAGTTTCCCTTTTCAACCATAGCAATAAAAGATGAATTATGATTATACATGTAATATTGATAATAGGAGTTTCTTATGAGTCCAATTCTGAATCATAACTTGTCTTGACAGCCATGCAACACTGAGGGAAACACTAAATGTGCTGAACGAGAGAACATTTGGTCAGAGCAAATAAAATCACACCTCACACACACAAGACTCCTCATAGTTTGTGTTCTGGAGTGAAGCGCGCAGGGGCTTTTGAAGGGGACACTATGTCAATCAAGCAGGAGTGAGCTGCTTCTGTGTGGAGGGCAGCAGGAGTGCAGCATTAGCACTGGCTGAGGTCTGTTGGTACAAGGCTGGTTCATCTGCCTCAGGTCTGGAGCAGTTTTTTCTCGCCTTGCGCGCTCTGCTGTTGCCTCGCCTAAACAAGCAAACACACACCCTGCACCCAATACTCAATTATGGAAACGTCACGAATAGATTGGTGTTAAGAAGTATAATTCGTGCTGTGGTATACGCCATATAGTGCTATAGTATTAAAAAGGGGGACTGAGAGCGCGTTAACGGCAGTGCTGGATGTACATTTGTAGACCTGTAGCCTATAGGTGGATATAGGGAGTAAATCACTGAGGATGGGAGTACTCCGCGGTTAACAAATATATATATACATATACATACATGCATATACATTCAAAATGAAATAAAGTCAGCACATAGTGAATGGTTATAACGTACCATTTTGTGCCGAGACGAAGGGCAGCATCAGGCAGACCACCAGGAGCAGCATCATCGTCACGGCTTGTGTGCACCAGGGTCTCGCTCGGACGAATATGGGAGGCAAGATCGTGTAGAGATCTAGACAAACGGGCCCAGCATATTACCGGGCTTCCTCAAAAGTAGGGATATGATGATGCAATATTATTAAAGTCCACCAGATAGTGTCCAGCCATAGGTGTAGAAAAGCCTGGTCGGGCTGAGGATAAAGGTCCTCGGATGTCAGGGAGATTGTCCACAGTGCAGTTCTAAAGATTCAAAGATGCGCAGAACGATGCGCATTTGTGCCTCCACACCACCTCCGGTTACTGGCTGATTAGAATAAAAGTAGCGCACACGTTTGCCTCGACGGGAAGTGATGTAGCTATAACATGAGGCTGTTATCAGCAGAGGGATGCTTCTGAGGGCATAAAGGAACAGATGCTGTTCCTACACCGACTGCACTACAGCAGCAACCTGCACCGCGCTCATGACCGCGTCCCACGCACGGAGCAGGCCTATCATTACAACACTATGAGGAGGTGTCAGCTGCCCCATCGTTTTAGATACAGAAACAGCTGTAGCCTGCATCATTCTCTGAGTTTTAGTTTATTATATTAAAAACAAAAAAACAACCCTCATAAATCTTAAATTGTGTTTAATATTGCAAATGGTTGAATTTAAAACTTAGCTTCCATCTGTGCCAAGATACATACTATGATGGTTTAATATGGAGAGATTATAGTGATGCTCTTGAGCGCTCTGGGGTCATTTATAAATTATGTCATCACATCAGTGGCCTGGGTGTCCTGTGATGATGCCTACCTCATCCCTTTGAAAGTTCAACATGGCCTCCTCTAATCCGCTCGCAGCAAGTGTGTGCTGAAACAAGGGCGCCCTCAAGTGACGGTTTGTGATAATACATGTAAAACTGTAGTCGATTTATTTGATTAGATGGATTTTGAGTCATTTACCTTTGGCAACTGTGTTTGCACACACAGGAAAGTGGTTTGAAACGGAATCAAACTAAATCAATAGGCTGTTGGTGAGTTTGAAAAAAAGTGTAGAGCTTTTTCTTCTTCTGTTGCTGTTAGGGTATCCGCATAATACAACGTAATGCTTATACATTTGAAAAAATTGGGACAATAATTCTGATGCCTTACAATAATATTAGGAAAAGTTCATCAATTGTGGATTTTAACGATAATTCTACTTCTCTAATTCTACCAGGAAAGAAATCCATGAATCAAACACCAGCTATGAATTTGTCATTTACCTCCTTGTCAGAGAACAGCAGTTGTTCAAAAAGTTCTATAACATTGGACTATTGCAGAAGGTTACAAAAGGTAGTCATGCATTTCAGGCTCATTCTGAAATTCTCCCAGAATGCCGAATATCCCAAACGGTTTGTGAGCTGTATATTTGTGTATACATAGTATTTTCCCCAGTGTGAACAATGTATTCCCCCACACACAGATTTGCATAAAAGGTCAAAGGAGCTAACCTTCAGAACAAACTTCCCTCTGCGCTCAGGTCACCCTACAGTTTGTCCACATTTCAAATCTAACCCCACGTGAAACACTGGGTAGGCCAATGGGCTGCAGAAAGGTCAGACCGTACGGCACTCCCTCTTTTGTTCAAAACCAATCAGAGTGGAAGTGTGGCATTTGGCCTGAGGGGAAAACTTACCCCTGAATGGGTTGTTTACGCATCACTTAGCTGTTGCCAATGTGTTCTCAACGCTGGACCCTCTTTTGGACTTTTTACAACAACTGTCCTCATTTCTCAGTCAATCTAGTATGGAAAGTAGACAACAATGGCTTACCAGGCTGAAGAATGAACTAAGCAACAGTCCGCTCATGTCAAATGTGGCGTTTGGCTTCATTCTGATGGGACTAGAGAAACTGGTGGAGTTGGAGTTTGAGTGTCCTTGTAACCCTACATGGAACGGAGTGTTTTCATCCGCTTTCTTCATCATTCCCGCTGTCATGGCCTTCACCCTGATGCTGATCATTCAAGGATGCAGGTGCGACACATGGTGCAAGAAAACCGTGTCCCTCTCGAGTTTCGTTCCTGCTATTGTGTGGCTCATTCTGTTGTTCCTCGACGGCCAGTACTTTGCGTGCGCTATGACAGACTGGGAGGGCAGATTTGTAATTGTTGACAAAGCTGCTCCACAGAAATGGTGCGAGCCAATAAGTGAGGGAGCGGTAACCACACAAGAACTGATGCTCCGCTCGCAACAACTTTTTGTTTTTTCTCAGGTGAGGTCACATGCGATTTGACTGTTCAACTAAATATACCTGCAATAATACTGTTTCTCAATTTGCTGTTGTCTTCTAGGTCATAGGCATAGTCCTGCTTATTTTTATCTGTGTGGGTCTCGTAGTTTATGTCGTACGAGAAAGCTGCCACCAAGAAGTGGAGTTGCAGGATGCAGATGTAGCAGAGCTCACGGTTCTAAGGATGAGCTCCGTGCGCACCAGAACATCATGAGAAATCTATTAATCAACGTGAAGACTTTGTAAATACAGACTTTTCAGTGTTTTGTTCCACTAATGCCATTTTCCTGAATGTCTTGGGTTGGACACTGAAAAAAACATCTATAGATCTTATTGCCTTATTACCATCACAGACCAGTGGCATACGTTTGCCTACTTTTGAGTTATGTCTAAATTAATGCTGGGCTTCCTTTTTTCCCCTCAAGAATAATAACATTTTGCTTGTCACAACAGAAAAAGTCAAATGTTGTGAGTATATCAGATGCTTGGGATGAGAGCTGATTGTGGGTGGTCCGCTGTTTTTCACTATTCTGTCTGAAAAAGCTGATCTAAGGATGTGAAAATCTTGTAAATGAACTCAACTATTTTGAGAACCATCAACTTACATGGAGTTGATGATATATGTCCATGTTTTGTAGTTTGAAAGTTAGGTACTTCAGCTTTAAGCCATTTCATATTGTAACATTATAGCAACAAGAAAATATTAAACCTGACATTGATCATGAATGATTAATAATGAGGGATTATTTTGTGAAGATAGTGGGACAAAAGCTTAATACAAAATAAAAATAATAATTCCAAAAACCTGGTTACTCACACTCAAAGCCACAATTCAGTAAGCTTTGTCTGTTCTGATTTGCATTCATTATCAAGTTTTTGCCATATAACATTGTAAGTGCCACAAAAAAGTACTCTTGTTCTCCGTTTGCGGTGTTTTAATGCTTAGATCAACAGTCTTGAAAGGCAGTTGTTTTTATTCTCATGATCAGAAAGGTTCAAAGTTCTTTTTTTTTATATGGGATTTTGCATTTTTGTTTCCATGTTGACACATCCATTCATTCATTGATATTTGTGGTTGTTTGGTGCTTTGAAATGTAATGTAATCATGAGTTTAGTTCTGCTCATGGTGTAATTGTTATGTTATTGTTTTACCAAAGTGTTATTTCAATGTTGATGCTTTGTTACAGCTAAAACTCTACCTGGTTGTTTTCTGATTCAAAAATGTGATAATGGTACACAGGCGTCAAAAAAACTATCTTTATTATATTTTTTACAACTGTTATACTATGTTAATTTATTTTTCTTTTCACGCTAGTTAAGCATCTTTTATACAATTGCCGAAACATGACATAAAGGCAAATGGAAGTGAAAAGAGTGACTCCACACAAGAACAATATGACATCGACAGAGTTGTAAGAATACCAGGGCATTTTGTACGATTCTGTTCTGAGGTGCGCTGCTCCTTTGTGCCTCATGACAAACTCGATCCAGAAGATAGCGTTTTCCAAAGGGTTCATCCACTGGTCTCTGTGCAGCCTGGACATCCTTTGCATGTTACTCCTGTAAGACGGCTCATGTAGAATCTCTTGAAGACTTTCATAAAATGTATTCCTATTCATTGTGAAAATATCGATTATTTTTCCTGCTCCTCTTTCATCGATCCTGAACAGATTATCGGGCTGATCGAAAATTAGTGGTAACCCTAAGATTGGGACGCCGTGATAGATTGCCTCCTGGACGCCATTTGTCCCACCGTGTGCCACAAACGCTTTAGTCTTTGGGTGTCCCAGGAGGTCGTTCTGAGGCATCCAATCAACCAGTAACGTGTTGTTCCCCAGTGTAGATGGCTTGTCTCCTGTGTATCTCCAGATAACTTTCTGAGGTAATTTGGCAAAGGCTGCGGCAATCTCCTCACTAAGGTCATGTGGTAGAGAGCCGATAAAAGTCCCAAGTGACATAACAATAACTCCGTGTTCTCCAGAGCTCTGAACAAAGTCCTCCAGGTGCGGGGGGAGAGGTTTACTTGGTTTACACTGGAACCCTCCCATGTAGATGGCATTGGGCATTGTAGGGCGCGGAAACTCAAACACAAAGTCAACCCGCATCAACCAAATGTCAGCGTTTAGAAAAATGGAAAAATAGTCTTTATCTGGGCCTAAATATTTTTCAATTACACCTTGGTATGGGGCAGCAACGCAATATGTCATTTGAAGGTATCCCATTGAATATACTAAAACATTTATAACTCGTTCAAAAAAGCTCATTTTGTCAGAAAAGACAGTCCCAGTAACAGGTATGTAAGAGAGAGGAGAGGGTGCAAATGAAAAATGAGCCTCACCCATTGTGGCCCATCTGACGTTATAGACAAGAGGCAAATTCAGATAGTGAGAAATTATGACTCCTGTTGGAACCACAGGGTCCGTTAGAATTAGGTCAAATTTGGAATCTCGTATATGCTTCATTGTACTTTCATCTTCCAACAGACCTTCTACCATTTGGCTACATTTTTTATGGATTTCAAGAGCTTTCACAGAATTTTCTATTTCAAGTTTCAACCTCATCCAGAGAGACTTTCCATGACGTTGGATTTCTAACAGCTCAGTAATGAAATCAGATATAAGGTTTTCGTCAAATCCAGAGGGCAGGTCTAGTGTGATTGAAGTGTACAATGGGGAGCTCTCCTTGATGTACCAGCTGTCGTTTGAGCGAACGACTGTAATCTCATGGCCTCTGGAATGGAGTTCTTCAATGAGGATCTTCATGTTCACCCAGTGGCTCCCCTCCATTGGAAATACCAGGACTTTTCCTCCGTGAGCTCCACATGGTAGGAGCATGCAGAGGATCACACACACACCGGCCCAAAGCATCAGAGGTCTTGGCGCTATTCATGGACAAAAGTAGTAAAGTAGAACATTTGTGTTAAAAATGCTGATACTTATTTGCTTAACCCTTGTGCCAATTTGAAGTAGTGATTCAAAAATAGCTAAAGTAGGGTCTAAAAGGGTCAAGTTAGGAAATATCATCAAAATGTAGCTACAAAAAATGCTAGGGTATTTTTCAAAGATAGCATGGGCTTAAATGTAAGCCCAGTGTTTTTAACTTAAAATAAAACAGGTGAAACCTTTTTAGCAGTCGTTTTTTTTCTTATCCACAAGAGGGCATGCTTTGCCTTGCGAGCAGGGTCTAACCGTGTTATGCCTTGTCCCCACATAAAGCAATTTCCAAAGGCACAATGGTAGATAGCTGCGGTCGAAATTAATTCATTATAATGGTAAATTTACCTTTAAGGGTTCAGTCATAGGTCTGACGTTATGAGTTTCCTTAAAAATTGCCCATAAAACACTTTATTTATATATCTAGTATCTATTAGTTACTGCACAAATTCTGGAGTTACAATATTTGTAATTATGAATCAAAACATATAAACAATTCATCTCTTCTTTTTTTTTGGAGAGCAACTAGGAATAGGTTGACAAGCTACTGTAACATGTTTTTTTTACTGCCTCCAAAGTTCGTTACTTCACTCACTGCCGCCTGTCTTTTTGTCCCTCTTTATTGTACAGCAGCCTGATTACTTACGTTCAACAAGCCCTAGGAAGAATCTTTCTGAAATGGTGCAGATATCTTCATAGAAACACGTCCAGAGTGGAGGTGTTCAACCTTGTCGCCTCCTTCCAGCTTCAGTGAGTTTAACACGCTCAGGGCTCTAACCACTCCTTGCACTGTGATTGGCTACACTGCCTTTAAAGTTGCGTAATAGACGTATTCCTTGGTATTTGTTTGATTCTTTTATATTTTAGTTTTCCATATTCCTCTTGTTATTGATGCTCTACCAACTGAGCCACTGTCGCCCCATCATGTAACTATTGGATTTGATTGAATAGGTCATTTATGTGTGGATTATAATTATAGATTAATTTATCATAGTTATAATTTTGGAGCTATAGTCTTTGTTTGGTTCTATCACTTGTCTGAATCTGAATGCATTTCTGGTCTCTTTCACATCATTAGATCAGATTTTTCAGACAGAAAAAATAATGAATCAGTTCTCAGCCCAATGCATCAACATGGAAGTATGTACAGTATTATAATAAGACAAAGACAGCATTATTTGTTCAAAAAACTTTACTTTTTCAATACTGCATTATTATTATGTAGATACATTTCAAGTATTGACAAAAAATAAAAGTGGTAGGGTTTATAGTAATAACTAAACTTAAGCACTGCTGTTACTACTAACAAATCAAGTAATGTCTGTAATTAATAACATAATGCTGATGATTGCATATCCGGTGTTTAGAAATTAATGTTGTTTAACTTTGTTTTTGCGCAAAGCATGAAATAGGCATCTAATCAACACAACAGTGCTGCCAAATACAAGTACCAATATCCCAGCTAAAAAACACATCACGTCTAACGAGAAATAGAAATACCATGGCATTCTGTAGGACTCAGACTTTAAATGGGCTGCTCCTCTGTGTCTCATGACAAACTCTATCCAGAAGATGGCGCTGTCCAGTGGCTGTACTGGCTGGTCTCTGTGCAGCCTGGACAGCCGTTGCATGTTCTCCCTGTAGGATTGGTTAGATAACACTTCCTGGACATGAGTTAGAATGCTATCTTCATCAACTTTGGACAGAGTAAGGATCTTGGCGCCTCCTCTTTCCTCAAGGCGCAGTAAATTGTCATATTGGTCAAAGAACACTGGCACACCCACGACTGGGACTCCATGATAGATAGCCTCTTGAATCCCATTGGTTCCTCCATGAGCCAAAAACAGTCTGGTTTTGGGGTGTCCCAGGAGGTCATTCTGAGGGATCCAGTCCACAAGTAAAGTGTTGTTTCCTAAAGTTGTTGGTCTGGAGCCTTTGTGTTTCCAAATCACTTTCTGTGGCAGTTTGGCAAAGGCAGCAGCGATGCCATCTTGCAGATCCTGAGGAAGTTCATTCACAAAGGTCCCCAAAGACATGAGGATGACTCCGTGTTCTCCAGAGCTCTGAACAAAGTCCTCCAGGTGTGGGGGGAGAGCTTTGGCCGGGCTACACTGGAACCCTCCGATGTAGACTGCATTAGGCATTGTGGGACGAGGGAACTCAAACACAAAATCTACTCTCATTAACCAGATATCAGCATCAAGAACTAAAGTGTTAAAGTTGATGCTTGGTCCAAAATATTTTTCACACAGTGGTTGGTATGTCAGCATTACAACAAGAGATAACTGTGTTTGTGTAAGAGCATATATCATGGTGTTTCTAGCTCTCTGCATAAAAGTCATCTTATCAGTAAGGCCTGATCCTGTTAAAGGAATATAGGAGACAGGGTAAGGGGCGATAGCTCCATGTGCTTCTCCGATTATAAGCCAGCGGATGTTGTACACCAATGGAAGATTCAAATATTTGGCTAAAATGATGCCACCTCCCCAGCAAGGATCAGTTAACATGAGATCAAATTTGCTGGCTTTCATAGTCTTAATCAGCTCTTTATTATCAAGGATTTCTGAGATATATTTACAGACATTTTGATGAAACTCTGTCATCACGTTGAACATCCCGAAAGTTATATAAAGATAACTCATCAATGGAAGTGTGCCTCTCTCATACTGTATGACCGTGTTGACAATATCTGTTATGACCTCTTTGACATTACTTTCCCCAGACATTGGAACGGTAATAGTCTTGTAATGGGACGCGCTCTCTTTAATGTACCAACTTTGACTGGAGCGTATGACGGTTATGTTGTGTCCCCTGGAATGCAATGCCTTTATGATGATGTCCATGTTGATCCAATGACTGCCTTCCGCTGGAAATACCAAAATATTACCACCGTCACAATCTCTTACTCTGGAGAGAAGAAAGAGCAGCAAGGCAGTGGAAAAACAAGACGTCATCTGTAAAATAAAAAAATAAAAATAAGATATGATTAAATGAAATCTTTACTTTTCATAATGCCCTGTTATCTAATAGATGTCAACTAATTTATTAATGAATTCATCGTTTTTTGGACCTTACATAGACTTAAACATGCAGAGAAGAGGTGTGCTGTCTGGTGCACACTGGGGTAGTCTTGCACCGTTTTTACAATGTGGTTTCACTGCGAATGGCAAGTACATTCTTGAATTGAATTCTTCTGTAATATGACAGCCGAATGAATTTCCTCTGGGGCATCACTTGAGCATCTATTCACAAAACATGTGTAATTAGTGGGCCATTAGTTACAGCCCTAATCAGTTGTATCACCTGCTGTAGGCTATTTCGTATGGACTCAATGGTCATTCTGTTATCTACACACACATATATTAGATATGTGTAGATACAAATACATAAGGGGCTAACCATAGGCTGTAAATAGTAACCCGTGTGCGCGGTTATACTGAAACTCCAGAAAGCAAGCAATAATCCAAGCCTAATCTTTACAAGAAGCCTTCTACTTTGATTTGGACATCTTCCTCTCAATAACAAAACATACACGTCTCCAAAAGTTGTAAACTTTCAGTAAAGTCATGAGCTACTTTCTCTCTCCCTGCCCGCCTCCTGAAGTATTTACTCACAGTTGCGTCCAGGCACGTCTCAGCAGAGGACCGGGGGCCAACACACGCACATTCACTGGAACTACGTGCTGTACGTTTATGCTTGTATTGAGAATGCTTTCAGATATTAGCAGGGTCAACGGATCAATTACCACCAGAAGTACGCTGTTACTGGGAGTTGATTTCTCCTCATATTTTTGTATCGAAAGAGTTAACAGCCGTCTCGTCTTGTGATTGGTCTGCGCAATGTGGAACCAACGCGCCTCTGCACGTCGCTGCTCTGCTCGCATTGGAAAGGAGCACGTTTCATCCCTGCTGCCTTTAGAACTACTTAACACGTCTCCCACGATTCAGAGACTACTAGAATTCCCAGAGCAGTCATATTGACAGCTCCCATTAAATGAATGGGATTCTGGGGAAAAAAGCCCCCCCAAAAAAACTGTTTTAGCATTTTCACTGGTTTTATTAAAATTAAGTGATTCATACGGTTTTATCAATAATACATGATACAACTGGTTAATATGAATGAAATACAGCAAAAATGAATTCTAACAGAGGCAAGTAAACCCTTTGTTGCTATAGTAACCAGCACTTGCCCCAAGCTGAGATTGCTCTGTACCAGTATAGGACCAGTCCAGTATGGAATGTGCTATATAAATAAGCTTTCTTCTTCAGTGTGGAGTAGCCCACAGGAATAGGCCTACTTATTCTGAATACTATTTTTGAGTAACTTTATTCGACATTCAGAATACAGTTACTATTCAGAAAATGAATATTGAATGAATCAAGTTATTTCAACATAATACAACCTGTCATCCTTCTAATTCTAATCAGCAATAATGAAAAAACATAAAAATTGTGATCAAGAATCCCTTGTCACATGATAATATGTGGACAAATATTCAAACAAAACTATTCAAAATGCAGTATTCTAATTGAACCAATACTTTTCAAGGCAAGTATTTGTGTTTTATTGCATTGAATCTTCCGTAGCACTGGCGTCACCTCAAATGCTGTATCACTACATCTGGATTAAGAATCTTTATTTGTCCCACCGTGGAGAAATTTCAGTGTTACATCACATTTTACAGACAGTAGGAACGGGGAGCACGCAGAAAAAGATAAATTAATAATAACTCTATACTAGAATAAAATAAAATCTCTAACGCTAACGTAAAAAAGCAGTAAAAAATCTCTATCTTTACCATAATACGGTAAAAATTCTAAAATATCCAACTTTAGCATGATGAAAAGACAATAATTAAGTGCAAAAACCCCTGACCTTGCATAATATGTGTGTATTTATTTCTAACAGGATTCACATGAGCATCCAAACTAAATAATAATAAAATTGTCGTTTTAGTTTCCTCTCCACACAAAACCACCCCATTGCTATTAAAGCTAAAAGATGATACTCTGACAGAGGGGGTGGGGTGTGCTCATGTCAGAAGAGGAGGAGGAGGAGGAGGAGGAGGAGAGGGTGGAGACAAAGATGAGGCTTTCCTATTATTGAGGAAAGCTCTTGAGTGAAGCAGCAGCAGCATCATCATCGCCACAAGGCAGCAACAGGAAACTGCATGGAGGAAAAGAGGAGCTCGTCCGCAGCCCTGCTTCTGTCGTGAACGTTCCCGGATGACAGACCCTCGGGGAAGGTATGCGCACAACACCATTTGTTTAAGCTTTTGTGATGTGCGCAGGGACGGGCTGGTGTAGGGTTGGCATTGAGAAAGGGTTTTCCTGAGTTGATTCAATTCATTCCATCTCAAATGGTTGGTTTCTATATACCTGAGCTTGTTCATATACGGATGTGAATGTGTGTGTGTTTATTCAGGCAGCCAGCTCATTGCATGTATCATATATTCATACAGGCATCATGAGGGATGTGAGAGAGGATTTACATTTAGTTCTATGGAAAAGCTGGCAAATGAGTTTTCCTCCATACTGTAGGTAAACAATGAACTGATGACATAAAGTGAGATTGTTTTGTTTTGTAGGACGATAAAGGTCGTGCTGCGGGAGACTGGAGCTTTCATTGATATGATGCTGAGAGCTGGAGGAGCAGACACCTCTGGCACATCGCTGCTTCTCATGCTGCTTCTGTTTTCCTGTCACCACCTGTGCCACTCTCTGCGTGAGTAAACACTCATGACATCCATGAGGGGTTTGTAAATACGCTTTCTGACTTGTGAGAGATAAAAGGAATGCTTTGAAGCAAGAATCTCCGACCTGTAGTCCCCTGGAGAGCTACTTCTTCTGTATGGAAATGGGAGAGAGCTACTACTTGAGAAAGAAAAATTATGTCAAGTTTGTCTATCCTCATTAGTGCACAAGTTAGTATGCGTTTATATGTAGGCATTTTAATATGAATGCAATTCATAACATTTAAAAAATCCACAGATTGTTTTTGAATTTCTAAATCCTTTTGAGAGCCACTTGGAAGAAAGTGGTGAGCTTCTGCGGACTGCAGAGACACCATAAGCTCACGATCAACTAATGGTTATTTGAACATTCAGTAGATATTATGGTTAGTGAGCAAAATATGCTCAGAATATAACTTTTTGTATGCACCTGGGTCAAATGCAGAGGACACATTTCCCTACAGGGAAAATAAAGTATAACTTAACTAACCTTTCATTGCTGTATTGAATAGTAGAAGTAGAAGTATTCTTTTTACTTATGACACTATGTTTACTGTTGTTAGTTAGCCATATTGAAGAATGTCTGTGTAAGCTTTGGCGATAATGCATTTTCTCATGTTGTTCTCCATGACTGATGGTGTCAGAGCCTTTGTCTGTATTGATCCACAGAGGTGACAGCGTGCATCTGTAAAGATCCTCTAGCTGGGCTTCAGCTACATTCTTTATCCATAAATTCAATTTACTACCATCACAGAGACCGATTTACAAGGGGATAGGATTTTATTGCGATATAAAAAGAATCAATATTCTATTTTCTTGTTCTGCTCTGCTTAGCTTTGTGTTCTGCAGAGTTATGTGTGTAATGGAACACTAAGAATAGTGAATTCTCTCATCAAATCACTTTATTTTGTACTATTGAATTGTACAGACAAATGAGTTGTGGGGGAGAAACATGTTAAAACAAATGCATGTATTTCTTTTGAACATAGAGCTCTCTTGTTCATAGATTTGTGTCTAATAGAAAATCCTGATTTTGTCTTTCTTGTAAAATGACACATGGCATTTTTTGTGATTTTTAGGAGTCCCAAACCTTTCTTCATATGCAAAAGCAGAGGACAAGCTTTTTAAATACCTCTTTAGCAACTACCAGAAATGGGTCCGTCCAGTTGAGTACCTCAACCAGACAATTAGTGTGAAGTTTGGACTGGCCATTTCTCAGCTGGTGGATGTGGTAAAGTTTATATTATTATTACCCAAATTAAAAACATTGGTGAAATAATGCAATTATAAAATCACCATTTTTCATTATACATTTTTTTTATTTTTTATTGTGGTTTTGTTTTAGGATGAGAAGAACCAGCTAATGACAACTAATGTATGGATGAAACAGGTATGTTATAATGATAACTGGACCCTTCAAATGGCTTTATTCATCCACTTCATACAGTAGCCACAGCTGCCCTGGGGTAGACTGACAGAGGTGAGACATCTAATCAGTCCCATAGGCCTCCCACACCACCACCAGTCAGTCACACACACACACATGCCAGACTCATAGGCAGTGTGTTTTAAGCGTCTTGCCGAAGGACACAACTGCATTTTGGCACTGCACTATAGCACCTGCGGTTCCCAGAGGTCTCCCATCACAGTACTAACTTTTTATGTTAATTGGATCTCATTTTGTCTGCCTTAAAACCAGATTTGCCAATGGGACCAAGCCGTTTAGTCTTATTTCAAGAACTGTTGCTTTATGTGTTGTGAGACATTTCTTGTATATTTTTAAAACAAGATAATTTTGCTTGTCCCATTGGTAAATCTTGTTTTAAGGCAGACAAAATGTGCTCAAATTAGGATACATTTTGCCAACTTTCTGTAGTGTAGACCCTATTTCTACGGCGGCACGGTGGCTGAGTGGTTAGCACTCTCGCTTCTCAGCAAGAAGGTCCTGGGTTTCGAATCCCGGTCGGAAACGGGCCTTTCTGAGTGGAGTTTGCATGTTAGGTTTCCTCCGGGTGCTCCGGTTTCCCCTACCACTAAAACAAGCAAAAAAGGTATGAATGTAATGAGTGAGTGAATGGATAGTGTTGATTGGGGGCTTTGATCCGCCAATGTGTTCGCCGTCTCGCTTCCGTCATGACCATGTGTGGAATGATTGGAACAATATCTGAACTCTGAACATTGAAAAGCGCTTTGAGTGACCTTGGTCTGTAAAATGCGCTATATAAATAAACACTACTTACTTCTGAGGTTTGGAAGGAGGGCGATGCATTGCTTGGGTTAATCAGTTCAAAGGATTACATCATAGCAGCATCGCTCCTCCAGCAGATTACAGCACTTTTACAACAATTTTCATCTATTCTGATGTCATTTTACTGACAGTTCTCATTTAAGCACCCCTGGCCCTGTGCCCACACACCTGCCACCAGCCCCTGTCTCCTGTCTCCCGCATGTCACCCTTATTCATGATCTGGGGTGTCCAGAGTGTCATCCAATTTATAGATTACGCCCACAGGCCATTCTTTGCCTTTCAGCTGTAACAAGCATTCCCATTGATTTATTACATTACCACCGTGCGACATTACCAAATGACACTTGCTTGTTGTTGATTTCTTGTCAATCAGCCTCACTGTGATTTGTCTCTCCACCCATCTCCTTCCGCTTAATATATTCACATGTCTTTATTCATTAATCCATGTGTCCTCCCGTCTCGTTTTTTCTTGTAGGAATGGATGGATATGAAACTCAGGTGGAATCCAGAGGAGTATTTAGGAATCACAACAGTTCGAGTTCCCTCTGACAGAATATGGTCCCCAGATGTTGTCCTATATGATAAGTATGTATGCTTAACCATCACTCTGTTGGCATTATTGGTCTGTTAAGAATACATTAGCCTCTCAAATCTTTCCACGCATCAGTTTTAGATGTAAACACTGCTTACTTTTTCAGTTCAGATGGCCGTTTTGAAGGCACTGTAACCAAAGCTGTTGTGAAGTATGATGGAACCATAACCTGGACACCTCCAGCCAATTACAAGTCTGCCTGCACTATAGACGTCACATTCTTCCCCTTTGACCTTCAGAACTGCTCCATGAAGTTTGGTTCATGGACATATGATGGCTCACAGGTCAGTGTGACCCAGCCTGGATTGTGAATCAAATTTTCTCATGAAAAACCATGTCAATTATTTAAAGATGCATTCTTTAACTGTCCTGAAGGTGACACGTGTTTTGTGAAGTGTTCCGATACCTGCTTCTTTCTTCTTTGCATGAAATGTTGCTTAAACATTTGCGTACCTTAATTAAAGATGATTTTTACAGAGATAATATCTTAATCTTCTCAACAGATAAAACTTTTAACTTTGTCCCAAGTGTTGTCATATGCGTATTTCCAATATTAAAATAGTTCAAGGTTTAATGACAAACTGTATAAATATCCATTCAGAAAATCAACATCATTCAGATTAACCCAAGCATAGGTCACCAATAGGACAGATGCGGAATACACCTTTTATGATAAACGTTGAACCCTACTTGCTCTGACAGTCTGAACATGAACTCGTTTTTTTGTCAAGTTTTGATTTAGACTAAACATGTATTCACTTTGTTCAGAAAAATAAATCACGTTAAATAAAAGCAATAATTTGGAAAAAATATCTAATACATAATGTGAATGGGGATACACAGGGAACCCCTGTATTATTCCATACTTTGGAAATAACAGTGACATCATTTGTCTTACAGGTTGACATAACTTTGGAGGACTTTCATGTGGACAAGCAGGACTATTTTGACAACGGTGAATGGGAGATTGTCAAAGCCACTGGGAGTCGTGGTTTGAGGACTGACGGCAGCATTTCCTACCCCACTATCACCTACTTCTTCGTCATTCGTCGACTACCTCTTTTCTACACCCTCTTCCTCATCATCCCTTGCATTGGGCTGTCATTTCTCACCATCCTTGTCTTCTACTTGCCCTCAAACGGTGGTGAGAAGATCTCGCTCTGCACTTCAGTTCTGGTCTCTCTCACTGTTTTCCTGCTGGTTATTGAGGAGATCATCCCCTCCTCATCCAAGGCCATCCCACTCATCGGAGAGTATTTGGTGTTTACTATGATTTTTGTCACTCTTTCTATAGTCATCACAGTATTTGCCATTAACATACATCACCGCTCATCGTCCACGCACCACGGCATGGCTCCGTGGGTCAGACGGATATTCCTGCATCGACTTCCTAAAGTTTTGTGCATGCGCAGCCATGTGGACCGCTACGCCACCAGTGGAGTAGCTGGGACTATTGGGACTCTTGGACTAAAAGGGTCTTCACCAGAGCTCACACCGCTTCTGGACAAAAGACAGCGCATAGAAGCAGCACTGGATTCCATTCGCTACATAACCATGCACGTGGTGAAGGAGAACGAAGTCAGAGAGGTAATGCGGTTCATATGTAGGCCACTCTTTCAATGTCTTTAATGGTGTTTATTTAGAAGGTGATGTAACAGTGGGTAATAGCCTCATGAAAAGCGTCTATATTCACGTAAACAGTGAGTTACTTTTAAAGTAGCAATATGTCAGATTTTACGGTTTACGATTAAACGGCCCTAATATGTCAAAAGGCTTTAATAAATCATGGTCTTTTTGAATACTTCTTTAACTGATAACAGTAGTTCAGCCGAGATATTAGCCCTAAATCTTGTTATTGTTTTAATTTTGATGTCCCGCCCTCCGCCGTTTTACCAATCAGAAAATCTGTGATCCGGATTGCCAGATCTAAGCATGCCAGGCTAATTTCACTGCTAAAGTAACATGTCAGGTCACAGAACTAAAAAGGTCTCGTTATGATTCTCAAAGCATTAATGACAAAACCAGGAAAAAAACAAGGATTTCTTTTGTGAAACAGGTGTTTGAAAACTCTTGTCTATTCAGCTGTTATGGTCCCAGCTGGATTTGTCTGCATATCTGGCAACCTGAGTCAGGGACAGAAGATAGAGCATTGACCCCCTCCAACCCCAACAAAACTTAAATCTTAAGACATATATAATATTCTGAAAGTAAAACAGAAATATTGATAATAAGATTTTTTTTTAAAAATGTATTCAAGTAATCCATCTCGTATCTATCTCGTCACCTCAAATGAAATATACACCCAACCTGCACTAACCTTTACTTACTGCATGATTTTATATACACTATTTTGTTGTCATTTTTAACCCAGCCTTACCGACACACACACACACACACACACACAATAGTCCCTGTTTGTTTACACTGAAACAGGTGGTAACGCTTTATATTAAGGTGTGCTTGTTAAGTATTAATAAGGTATTAATAGACATTAGCATCATGCTTATAGATTGCTTATATGTACTTATAAACATATTAATAAGCTGCTCATTTCACTATTCTCTAAATGATGTTGTACTAGTTATATGCTTTTAAGCATAAGTAAATAAGTAATTAGTAAGATACTTATTAAAGGAGGAATATGTTTATAAATATATGAATAAGCTGCTTATTAAACTATTATCGATACCATGTTAATAGGCCACAAACAATATGCCTATAAAGATATTAATACGCTGCTTATTAATAGGTAATAGTGGTAATAGGCCACTAAAATATGCGTTAATAAACTGCTTATTACATTATTTTGCAGTACCCTAATATAAAGCAAGGAGCATTTTTGTTAATGCAGAAAAAAACACAACATTGATCTAAGATGTTTTCATTTATTCAAACAGCAACAATTACAGTCTAAATGAAAAAATATATCAAAATTAAGTTTGTGCCAAAAGTTTGTTAGTAACTTCAAGGAGCCATGATGAACCCACTCATGCTCCGACCGGCTCTGCTAATGAATTTGGCTTTGGCAAAACAGTGAATCAGCTGACTTCACGAGCCTGAGAGATTAGCGGAACTCGCCTATTTTTGGGCATCGTCTGGTCCTCCCGGTTCTGCGCAGTTGACGAGCTCCCATGATGCTTTGCGCCAAATACGCATGTGTGGCTGTCATGTACGTGCACAGAGGGGCCGTGCTCTAACCAATCAGAGCTGCTGATCAGAGTGGGAGTTAGAGTGGGAGTAAGAGCCAGACAAGTAGAGTTTGTGGCAGTAAAATGTGGATTTAAAGAAAACTGAAGGATTTAAGAAGAAAAAAAGTTCAGGATGACAAGGGACACTAAAATCCCCACAAAATCCGACCTTTATGAAAGCTGTAGGTTCTCTGTCAGCTGAGGTCGAGCTGTTTTAGTTTAAATTGAGTTCTATGGGACAATTTCTGGGTAGCCCACGTGAATTTAGTCTGCAGTACCCCGAGAATCTCCCGAGCTACAAGCTAGTAATACCCTATCCAGTTATTATAATAGATCCATGTATACAACACACCTGTGGCACAACCATGGAACTATAATAATAACTGGATAGTGTTTTCCTAGCTTATAGCTATCCCACCCATGGGCACAGGGGGCGCTGTGGTACTGCAGACTAAATTCACGAGGGCTACCCAGAAGTAAGTAAGTAAGTAAGTAAGTAAGCTTTATTTATATACCGCCTTTCACAGACCAGAGTCACAAAGCGGTTTACAATTGTTATTTTTGGGCACTTGTCCTCTCACTCCACACAGAGATGGGAGCGGGGTCGCCAAACAGGAGGCGCATGCCAGACCTATTGTACATATTTTTAGTCCCATAGAACTCAATGTAAATTAAAACAGCTCGACCTCAGCTGACAGAGAACCTGATAGAGAACCCACAGCTTTCATAAAGTTCGCATATTTGGCGCAAAGCATCATGGGAGCTCGTCAACTGCGCAGAACCGGGAGGACCAGACGATGCCCAAAAATAGGCGAGTTCCGCTAATCTCTCAGGCTCGTGAAGTCAGTTGATTCACTGTTTTGCCAAAGCCAAATTCATGAACAGAGCCGGTCGGAGCATGAGTGGGTTCATCATGGCTCCTTGAAGTTACTAACAAACTTTTGGCACAAACTTCATTTTGATTTTTTTTTTCATTTAGACTGTAATTGTTGCTGTTTGAATAAATAAAAACATCTTAGATCATTGTTGTTTTTTTCTGCATTAACAAAAATGCTCCTCGCTTTAGATTAAGGTACTGCAAAATAGTGTAATAAGCAGTTTATTAACGCATATTTTTAGTGGCCTATTACCACTATTACCTATTAATAAGCAGCGTATTAATATCTTTATAGGCATATTGTTAGTGGCCTATTAACATGGTATCGATAATAGTTTAATAGGCAGCTTATTCATATATTTATAAATATATAAATGTATCTTACTAACTACTTATTAAATGCTTAAAAGCATATAACTAGAACAACATCATTTAGAGAATAGTGAAATGAGCAGCTTATTAATATGTTTATAAGTACATATAAGCAATCTATAAGCATGTTGCTAATGTCTATTAATACCTTATTAATACTTAACAAGCACACCTTAATATAAAGCGTTACCAAACAGGTCATTAGTTACTGATTAAGCTGGCATAAGACCAAGTAAACTGTAAAACTGTAAAAACATGTAGGTTAAAAGCCAGACAGTGATATAACCTCAGAAATCATTGACTAAATATTTCATAAATTATATGTGTTTGTTTTTGTATTCATTATTAATCAATATTTGCTTTTCTCTGCAGGTAGTACAGGACTGGAAGTACGTGGCCCAAGTGTTGGACCGAGTGTTTCTCTGGGCCTTCCTCTTGGTTTCAGTGCTGGGCTCCGCTCTGCTTTTCATCCCAGTAATCTACAAATGGGCCAGTATTGTTGTTCCAGATTACACTGGAAGTACTCTCTGAAGAAAAGAACTCACATGGACTGAATTTAAAAAGCCCATCATTATGGAGGAGGCTGTTCAGGACTCTAGGAGCAAGGTGCAAACTACAGATGTTATGGCTTGTTTATGGAGTTATGTACACTGTTTAGAATGGAAAAGTGTCATATTTATAACAATAAAATATCTGGATTATGTATGTGAGACAAGTTGTTTTCACATGTGCCTTAGCAACATAGAAATTCTAGTTCATTCTCTAAGCTGGAGTACTTCACATTTTTCCCATAAACTATATTTGTCCCAACAAGTCATGTTGAAGTTGCATATTTTGAACCAATCAGACTTAGATTGTAAAATATTTGATCTTTTACATACTGAGAGCTGATTGGTTGAGGGAATGTGAACTGAAAAAGCTGATCTAAAGATGTGACAGGCCAAATATACATGTGAAAACTTCTGATAAAACAGCTTTGCTTCGAGACCAAGGAATTAGTTAAATGGATTTTATTACATAGTTGATTGTTTGTGATTTCAAGTTTAAGTTTAATTTTTTAAGGACAATGTGCAGTTGCATTGAAAAGATGGCTGCACCAAATTTAGCCCCATACTACTTTCCATCTGTAGTCCTTGAAAATACAATCATGTAACTTGCATATTAACATACCATTCAAATAAAAAGATCTTTTCTAAAGTTAGGTACTCCAGCTTTAATGCATAGGCGTGTTGTGACTTAGTTAACACAGGGTTTTTGTTGCTGGATAAGAGGGCCCCCGTTAAGAACCTAATCTTCTTACATCAACTATGGTATGTGCTGTTGTGAAGTTTTCTCGCCATTTCATGATGGGAATACCTTCTGCTATATACTCTGATGTGAAAAGGTTGGTTTTGCAAAGTAACTTTTCATATTTTGCTTAATTAATATAGCGTTTTCATTTGTTATACATGACTTTTTCAGGTAAAGATGGAGGCTGCACGCTGGAATTCTAGGATTAATGTATGGTTTTTCATGTTTGCATCATTGTTATGGCGTGCGTCTGATTGCGGCAAGATTCTCATAGTTCCTTTGGAAGGGAGTCACTGGATTAACATGGACATTCTGATCAAAGGCCTTTCCTCTCGTGGCCACTCCATCACGGTTGTACGGACCACACAAAGCTGGTACATCCCAGATAACTCTGAAGATTTCAACACAGTCACAGTTCCTGTCAAAGAAGGATTCAATCATGAGTTTATTAATCCGATACTGGACAAAATAATTGCACTGGAGAGAGGCGGAGGTTCTTTCATGACTTTTGCATATTTACAACTGGAGATGTTTACAGCTATGTATGACATACACGGGCTCATCTGCAACATGGCAAGAAGTATGTTCACTGACAGAGATTTGATGAAGCGTTTGAATGAGAGTAGATATGACTTGGTGCTGACTGATCCAGCATGGGGGGCAGGGATTATGCTGGCTCACTATCTTCAAATACCTCTGGTCTATAACGTCCGCTGGATAACCAGTGGAGAGGGACATTTGGCGCTTGCACCTTCACCCTTATCATACATTCCCATGACTGGTTCAGGATTATCTGATCGTATGAATTTTGTACAAAGACTCAAAAATGTATTGTTCTATTTAATATGGCAAGTGCAGGATACTTTCTTAATAGACCCACAGTATCAAGCAGTGTGTGCAGAGTTCTTTGGGCCTGAAGTTAGATATAGGCATTTATTACAAGGGGCTGATATCTGGTTAATGAGAGTAGATTTTGTGTTTGAGTTCCCTCGTCCCACAATGCCTAATGCAGTCTACATCGGAGGGTTCCAGTGTAGCCCGGCCAAAGCTCTCCCCCCACACCTGGAGGACTTTGTTCAGAGCTCTGGCGAACACGGAGTCATCCTCATGTCTTTGGGGACCTTTGTGAATGAACTTCCTCAGGATCTGCAAGATGGCATCGCTGCTGCCTTTGCCAAACTGCCACAGAAAGTGATTTGGAAACACAAAGGCTCCAGACCAACAACTTTAGGAAACAACACTTTACTTGTGGACTGGATCCCTCAGAATGACCTCCTGGGACACCCCAAAACCAGACTGTTTATGGCTCATGGAGGAACCAATGGGATTCAAGAGGCTATCTATCATGGAGTCCCAGTCGTGGGTGTGCCAGTGTTCTTTGACCAATATGACAATTTACTGCGCCTTGAGGAAAGAGGAGGCGCCAAGATCCTTACTCTGTCCAAAGTTGATGAAGATAGCATTCTAACTCATGTCCAGGAAGTGTTATCTAACCAATCCTACAGGGAGAACATGCAACGGCTGTCCAGGCTGCACAGAGACCAGCCAGTACAGCCACTGGACAGCGCCATCTTCTGGATAGAGTTTGTCATGAGACACAGAGGAGCAGCCCATTTAAAGTCTGAGTCCTATACTTTTCCTCTGTGTGCCTATTACTCTATAGATGTGATGTTTTTCATTTTGTCAGTCACTCTAGCTGTTACAGGCCTTCCTTTATTGTGTTTAAAATGTGTCTGTAGAGGCAAAAGATCAGCAAAGTTAAAATCACACTGAGGTTAGTTTAAAAGCTGTCTGGCGTGTTTATTCACATTGAAACATAACATTAAGTGCACATGTTTGGGGAACATTTAAATTAGAATAAAAAATTTAATCTACAAATCATTGTTCTCATTCTGGATGATTAGTGTGTTTCTCTGCACCCTCTATTGGTAGTCTTTAGAGGCCATGTTTTGTGGTCCAGATGTTGTTAGCTCTTCTCAAGTGTAATAGTTAATTATACATAGTAAAATAGTTAATTATACATTTTATGCTAAAATGAAGCCAAGGAAATGAACACATGTTAAAAGGACAGTGGTCATCCCACTATCCTTTGGACCAATGTATTCTTTATGTTTTCTGCATTTCCTGTGTGTTCTGTTTGATTCTCAAATATGTTTTTGCAAATGTAAAGTCCTCTGAGACGACGCCTGTTGTGATCTTAATAAACTGTGGTCAAAGCACCGGATATGTTTCAATATAAATTCTCATTGTGTTTTGTACATTTTATATATATTGTTCAATCAAGATTCATTGATTTTTAAATAATTAAATCAGCTAAAAACATGAAATGCAATATTGCTAATTATGAGAGCTAGGAAAAGTAACATCAACAGGGATGGAGGGAGGTGTTTTACTTCTTTAGGCTTTACGTTTCTTGGTGACGTATAGGTGGTTGAGAAGAAGTGTAGTTTTAATAGATTGTGTTACCAGAATACATAGTGTGAGGTTTCCTGTCTATGAACACCACATCATTACAAAAATTGTGTCAAAACTATAGCAATAACAGTCTCCCTTTTGTCATGCATGAATTTGTCTTAGACAATATATTTACTACTTGTGGACTCCACATGGCCTTTCTTTTTTCCATTTACTCAGGCAACTGTGGCTATAGCAGCTTACACGGCAGAAAACGGTATGTATACACAGCCTACACAAACAATATTATTCTTCTGCAGAAGCCAAGACTTCATCGTACTCAGAGGCAAACTCGGCAGGATAACTGTACGGGTCGGCAACATTTTGAGAGCTGAAAGAAACCAAGTAAATTGTTAGATTTGATTTTGAAAGTTGTACAACACAAAAACATTTATTTTACCCCGAAAAATCTTCATTATTCCAGGAATCATCTGGAGAGAGAACGAATCCATTATCTTCAGCGGTCAAACCTTCTGCATCAGAGGGCAGGACATCGATCCCTGTGGCACTCTGCAGTTTTTCATCTGTATTTGACTTCTTCAGTTTTGCTGCGAGTAATATAAATACAGTAATTAAAACAAGAATATTGCATAACTATGGTATCTTGAAGAGAACACGCTCTCACAATGATGCTGACATTTGCTGAGGTTCTATGTAAAGTGGGGCAAAAAAGTATTTAGTCAGCCACCAATTGTGAAAGTTCTCCCACTTGAGGGAGGCCTGTAATTTTCATAGGTCCACCTCAACTATGAGAGAATGAGGGGGGGAAAAAAAATCGAGAAAATCACATGTGTCTGAATTTTAAAGACTTTATATGCAAATTGTGGTAGAAAATAAGTATTTGGTCACCTACAAACAAGCAAGACTTCTGGCTCTCACAGACCTTTAATTCCTTCTATAAGAGGCTCCTCTGTCTTCCACTCGTTCCCTGCATTAATGGAACCTGAGATGAACTTTTGTTATAGACCAAATACTTATTTTCCACCATAATTTGCAAATAAATTCCTTAAAGAATCAGGCAAAGTGATTTTCTGGATTTATTTTTCTCGTTTTGTCCTTCATAGTTGAGGTACCTATGATGAAAATGACAGGCCTCTATCATCTTTTTAAGCGGGAGCTCTTGCACAATCGGTGGCTGACTAAATACTTTTTTGCCCCACTGTGTTATACTATATTTAAATGTTGTCAATAATAAACTGTACCTTTTTTTCTAATTGCAAAAGCACAAATCCCCAGAAGAACTAACATCACTGGCGTTGTGAGAGAGACTGTTAGTCCAACAGGGAAACCTGAAAAGACAATTACAGGTTACATGCGTTGTTATAATAGATCCATGGTTACATGTAATGTTTTTTTCATAAATGAATACTTGGGTGTTGGAAATGATCCAGGACATGTGTGGACAGAGTTTAATCTGTTATCCTACAATGACTCTGAAGCGCTGAATTCCCCTGAGAATGACTTGACCAACAAACAAAAAATCAGGCAAAATCCTGTCATCATGTTGTTAGAAAACATACTTGTGTGCACCATGTGCACTGTATATTGTATAAAGTAATTGTAACTCTATTTTAACTTTAATTTTAAATTTAGTTTTTTTTATTCTTTATTTTTTATTCTCTTTTTCTGACTGTTGCACTGAGCCAAAGCAATTTCCAAGTCTGTGACCTCCTGTTTCTTATAAAATTAAAATAATTCTGATTCTGATACTGATACTAGCTTTTTAAAGTAAAGTATCCCCTTTTATTTCTGTCTTTGTAGGAACCAGATCCCTGACTTTGACGACCATCGTCACATGCATGTTCCACTTTATTAGTGCTGAAATATCATTGTGGAAGACAAGATAATCGTGTTCAAAACAACCGTGATTTTGAAATTAAAATCCTCCTTTTGTTCAAATCAATCAATCAATGAAAACTTTTCATCTGACGAAAAAAAAGAGAAAACTAATATGGTCAAAGAAAAATGTGACAAATTTCAATAATGCTGTTGGAACAAGTCTGAATCTAGAGCTGGGGTACCTAATAATTAACCGAATAATTTTCTATACATTATTGTGTCCCTGGGAGAGATACTTAACCCCACACTGCCCGAAGCCCCCACTGAAAGACCAAGGCCATCCCGTCGATGACGGAAAAGCCATCTTCCTGTGGACCCACCACATGCAGGAGGATCAGCGAGGGACTGGTGCTATGAATTCTGAACATTGTAAAGTGCTTTGGGTGACCTTGGTATGTAAAATGCGCTATATAAATAAACATTACTTACTTACTTACTTACTATGAGACATGGGTGGCAGCTCTGGTTGCCACCCCCCCAACCCAGAAATGGAATGATAAAAGGGTAGAGAATGACAAAAAATGACATGACATGATAAGTAACTATGTTGTAGTTGATCCCAACAGAGAGAGGAACAGCAACTCAGACCTAGTTGCTGTTCCTCTGTAGGAAATCTGCACCCTTTATCTTTTTATAAAACATTTTATCTTTTTATTATTGAAAGAACCCTGTCAGTCACTTTTTGGCACATTGGCTGATGAGCTGATTGACTGAGTGAGGGTGGTCCTCTCTTTTGCACTTTTCTTTTAAAAAAACACAATAGAACCAAACTGTTTTGCGGGCTAAAAAATAATCGGGCGACAGTAGCTCAGTCGGTCGAGCATTGGCCTTTGAGCCAGAAGGTTGTGGGTTTGAGCCCCTCAAGACTTTCCCCATCAACTCCCACTGTCTGCTGTCGTTGTGTCCTTGGCAAGACACTTCACCCCCATTGCCTAGAAAGAGTCTGGTGTGTGTGTGAATGGTTGGTGGTGGTCAGAGGGGCCGATGGCACATACTGGTTGCCTCGCTTCTGTCAGTGTGCCCCAGGGCAGCTGTGGCTACAGTAGTAGTTTATCACCACTGTGTTTGGAGTGAATGAATAATGACATGTAAAGTGTCTTTGAGTGTCCAAAAAAGCGTATATAGAACTGATGCATTATTATTATTAATCGGATGGATTCTGTAAAGTATAGCTTGTTTTTTGAGGTTCGATCCCCCAGCTTTAAGACCCATGGAGGAATGAAACATGGAGACGTCTCAACACACAACTAACCTTTGACTTGAAGATTGATAACATTATTTCCAGTGACTCGGTCCTCATCCTGCTTGAAGCACTGAGAAGGTCGCACCACGCAGCTGTACTGACCCGCGTCTCTCTGCACAATATCCTGTATCACAAATGTGGCGCTGGAATTCTTCAGCTCAAACCCCTGCACTTGGAGAATGACCCCATCCCTCATCAGATACGACTGCACCGAGTCACAGTCACCCATAGTCTGCAGGACATTTGGAAGAGAACACACAAAAGTAACTCGTGCTCCCTGGCTGATGGACGGTGGACCCAACAGGGACAGGTCTGCAGCTACAACGTTTGCTGAAAGACAAAGAAAAATAATTATCGCATGTAATGTCTCAGGTTTATTGTGGTGTGACAGAAAGGACAAAAAACATGGAGGAATGGGCAAGTGAAAAACTCTTGGCTGTTCAAAGGATTAACATTATTTAAAAAAGAAAATAAGTTACACTATGGTGACGTAATTTGGGAGAGAATTTCATATTTCTATTTCTTAATTAATTTCTTAATTCATCTAAGTTTTACAACAGTAGCGACAGTAGCTCAGTTGGTGGAGCACTGGTCTTTGGACCCAATGGTCATGGGTTTGAGCCCACCTCGACCCATGTCACCTGCTCACACTGATATCTGCTGTCGTCTGCTGTCACTCAACCCCACATTGCCTGAAGGCCATCTAGCCGATGCCAGAGAAGCCATTTTCCCGTGGACCCACCATCTGCAGGAGGATCAGCAAGGGACTTGTGCAATGACACTTCGGCGGCAGCTCTGATTGCCCCCGCGACCCAGAAATGGAGTAATAAAGGGGTAGAAAATGACATGACATACATGTATGACATCTATTCTTTAATCCAGGGTTTCTAGATTTTCACACCCCATTTCCTAAATTACTTACACTATATACGGTATATGAAGAGAATTTGAACCATTGGGAAATTCTGTTTTTGTTAGTAAATTTGAAAGGATTTGTTTAAAAAAAGGCGTGGACGTTTACTTCCAGTACACTAATACATATTTGGCTTCCTAAACAAAACTGCTCAATAAATATAAAATTGTAAGCATTGCATTTGTATTTGTTTTTGCTAATAAGCTCTTCATAATATAATTGCAAAAATACCACAAATATTTTCTATTATCTACAAAATTATCGTATAAAGGCTTGAAATGACCAACCTATGACAGAAATGTTGATGACGTTGTGTCCAATGGCGTGGACCATCGCAGGTTCGTACTCATGTGGGGAATAAACACAGCTAAACTGCCCCCTGTGTTCTTGTGTAACTTTGGGTATTATAAATAAAGATTCATTTTCCTCTGATTTTTCCAATTTCCGTTCGATCCCAGTGCCATTTTTACATAAGTACATATAGACTTCCGTTTGCTTCTTCAATCCAAAAGTGCTGCATATCACAAAAAGTCCACTGTCCTCTCGAACGGTATTCAGTGGAGCCAAAATTCTAGCTGGGGACAAATCTGCAAAACAAATGTCAACGTCAACTGAAGTCTTTGCAACAACAGAAAAAAATAAAAGAATACCTCTAGTTTGGCTTTTCACCTCAGCAATAAACAAATCTAAAGACAACATTGACTATTAGACGTTATTTGTGGCATTAAACTCATTAAAGATGAATAAATACTTACAAAGGAGACATGTCAGAAGATGCATTGTGCTGATGCAAGTGACCGTGGGAGAGTCTGAAGTGAAACTGTGTGGGATTCTATTGATGTTGTTGAGGTCTGATGATCTGTGCGTCTGTCGTCGTAAGAAAAGGAAATGCTACGACTTCTGATCCATTATGGGTCGGTCAATGTTTTTAATAGACTCGTGTCTTGGTCATCAAAAGTCATTTTCCATACATGCTGACATAATTTAGTAATGGAAAAAACTTGTTTAATTGTTTTCTGAAATGACTGCTCTATTTTGAGTTTAGAGGCTTGGTATGGTCAAATATAGGGTCAGAGGCCCTAGTATACATAAAAAAGAAGGTTAGAGGCCCTAGTATACATGAAATAGAAGTTTAGAGGCCCTAGTATACATAAAAAAGAAGGTTAGAGGCGCTAGTATACATAAAATAGAGGTTTATCGGCCCTAGTATACATAAAGTAGAAGTTTAGAGGCCCTAGTATACAAAAAGTAGAAGTTTAGAGGCCCTAGTATACAAAAAGTAGAAGTTTAGAGGCCCTAGTATACAAAAAGTAGAAGTTTAGAGGCCCTAGTATACATAAAAAAGAAGGTTAGAGGCGCTAGTATACATAAAATAGAGGTTTATCGGCCCTAGTATACATAAAGTAGAAGTTTAGAGGCCCTAGTATACATAAAAAAGAAGGTTAGAGGCGCTAGTATACATAAAATAGAGGTTTATCGGCCCTAGTATACATAAAGTAGAAGTTTAGAGGCCCTAGTATACATAAAAAAGAAGGTTAGAGGCGCTAGTATACATAAAATAGAGGTTTATCGGCCCTAGTATACAAAAAGTAGAAGTTTAGAGGCCCTAGTATACAAAAAGTAGAAGTTTAGAGGCCCTAGTATACATAAAAAAGAAGTATAGAGGCCCTAGTATACATAAAAAAGGGGATGTCCCATACATACCAGTATACATACTGATTGGATTAGAGGCCCCGGTACAGCACAGTTTGGGTTCGAGGCAGGGCTGGACTGGGACAAAAAAACGGCCCGGGCATTTTTTCCTTCTTAGCGGCCCAGGCAACTCAAAAGGTTCAAGGACCCATATTTGCCAAAAACCTAAAAACAACATCTGTCTGGAGCCGCAAAAAAAAAAACAGCGTTGTATAAGGCTTATATGAAGGTAACAGGGGCTGAAGCTGTATTAGCTACATTAGCTACATTAGCTACATTAGCCTAATATCTAAATGACAAAGTAAAGGCTACAAACACATAAAAACCATTCATGATTATCAAATGTGTATTTTCATTGCAGCGTGTCCTGGAGAGAATGACGCACCACATGACAACTCTGCTTTAAGTTTAACCTCCATTTTTTTGCCTTCATGCAGTTGTACAAATACAGTAAATAAATCTGCTTTTTGGCTCCGAGTTCACCTGCATCACTGTCTGTTCATATCCATCATCTGAATGTCCTTAATGGCCTTTTCTTTCACCGTCTTTGTGAAGGGATTTGAAGTCTGAAAATAGGTGCTCTGAATTTATGATGAATGAATCTTTCAGTGAACGGTGTTTAAAGCTTCATTGTTCCTCCTGTTGCAATAAAACTTTTCATTACATCGCAAACATGAAGCAGTCCTTCCTCATTGACTGAAAGTAAATGTTCATTCTCATTCTTAGTCCAGTCTTATCGACTCTCTCTCTTTATCTTTGGGATCCATGCGCACACACAGTTAAAATAGAATATTACTACATATTCATATTATTACTACAATACAAGTTTTTTTGTTTTTTTTTTTTTTTTTTTTTTTTTTTTATAATAAAGTGTATTATTACTACAATACAAGTTTATATACAAATAGTGTAGAGGATCAGGATGTCTGCAGTTTCAACAATAAAATAAAGTACAATAGTCTACATTAAAGAGAGTAATAAACATGTCTCAGAGTGAGGGAGGTGGGCACAGACAACACTATTGTTTGTTACAGGGATGAGAATTGGTAAAAATTTCTGAAATGCATATTTTCAGCCATTAGCTGGCTCTAAATCTGTTTAATCTGTTCACAACATTTTACTTTTGGGCTCAAACATGAACTTTTAATGCAATGGAAAATTTAGGTACCGGAGCTTTAATTTAGAGGAGAGGGGAGACGCGGACTGTTTTCTGCAGCGGTGTATTTATTGGGTGCACAAATTACGAAAAGACATGCATGGTCCTGTGCGTGTTTATGGTCTTGGGTACATGCAGTGGCGGAGCCAGAGGGGTAGCCAGGGTGGCCACTGCCACCTCTAAAAATATCCTTGCCACCCCGAGTGCCCCCCTCGGAAGACGGCAATGTAACAATGTTAATCTTGAGAATCTTCCGCACTTTTTCCGCCAAAAGTTAAAAATTCCCACGGTTTCCCCCGTCTGTGAACGCACCCTGACTCCGTGTGGAGCCGGTGCTGTATGGTAATGTTTTGGGTTGTTGGACTCAGGTGTGCCCAAGTCGTGATGAAAACAAAGAGGTAAGTTAGCGACGCAGAGCCAACCGTTTACATTTGACACAAAGTATAGACACACGTACTGCAGCGCATTACTTTTTCAGTTTGTAGAACTTTTAGTGTGTGTATGTGTGCGTGCGTGCCTGTATGCGCGCCTGTGTGCGTGTGTCAGCGTGCTAGTGTGTCTGCGTGTGTGTGCGTGCCTGTGTGTGCCAGTGTGGGTCTGCGTGCCTGTGTACGTGTGTGCGTGCCTGTGTGTGCGTGCCTGTGTGCGTGTGTATTTTCCATTATTAATTGCCCATCGTATCATCGCCCTCTTCCCTTTAGTGTAAACATGAAAAGAAAAGGAGGAGACATTGCGTCTTTTTTTGTCAAGAAAAGGCCTGTAGATCAGGATGATGAAACCTGAAGGTCAGACTCGGAGGCAGTATGTTTTGAGATGATGAGGAATTTGTTGTGTTGTATTAAAATATAGCTTATATAATTGAGTTTCAGAGAATGAGAGGGTGAGAGGGAATGAGAGGTGTAGGATTGTCTATTGGCAGAAGGCGTTTTTTCACACACAAAAAAAGAAAAAAAATAGCTAAGATTATGGATGATGTGCTTGACCCCAAAACATTTTTGAAAGAAGAGCCCCTGTTTTCATTTGGCAGAACCTTTCAGTCAGATATAGAGGACCTTAAGCATGAGGTACGTCAAACTAGGCGGCTTCTTGGGAGGAAAAAATGGATTAGAGAGTCCCTATTGGACTTCCTTGTCCTTTTGTAACGTTTGGAAAGTGTTTCATGAGCTTTTGAGGCTTGCAAAGATCTTTTTAATACCTGTCAGTACTGCGTCGTGTGAAATAAGTTTCTCTGCCCTAAAACTTATTAAAAACCATCTCAGAACTGTTATGGCAGATGACTGAGTCATCTTGGTGGCCTCAGTGTAGAGTCAAGGAGGGCTGAATATGGATGAGTTTGTCAACATCTTTGCTGCTTTACACCAGAACCGCAGGAATTTGCTAAATTTGTTAAAAGAAAAATGTAATGCAATGTTTGAATGATGTTATTTTGCACTTTTTTGTTCAGACTACTATTTAAATAACTTTTTTGCTTTGTAGTTTCCAAGTGTGCTCTCAGTTCACTTTATATTAAAAATAATGACAAGATTAAGATTAAAATGTATCGTTTAGCCAGTTTTTGTGTGAAATAAAATTTCGGAATAATATAAATGTGGACCCCTTAAAAAAACCCTTGCCACCCCCTGGCCACCCTCTGTTTAAAAGTGTGGCTCCACCACTGGGTACATGGGCACGTTGCGGCTACGCGCTCACCGTGTTGTGTTGTGAGCGGTTCCTGCGTCCAGCTCAGAGCCGCTGGATGCGGGAACACTGCGGCCGCTGAGGTGGTGGAATCCCGTTCCAGTACATACAGCAGGTGCCCCGCGGACACGCACGCTCCCCTCAAACATTTCTCAACGGATTTACACTTTTTACAAACATGTTTTTTGTATGAGGCAGACAGACCGGCGCAAATATGGGCATCGGCCCTTCGGGCATTGCCCGGTACGCCCGATGGCCAGTCCAGCCCTGGTTCGAGGCAATGTGTAAGAAAAAGGACAAATACTTTTGAATGCGTTTTAATACTATTGATGAATGCCTTGTCTGAATTATTCTTGAACAGCCCATTTTATTCTTTAAATCACAGTTTTCTCGGAGGACTTTACACAACCATCGAATTAATCAACACAAATCGAGAATCAAACCGTTCAAACACAAGAAACCGAAACAAAGGTCCATTAGGAGCTGATGACCAATGTCCATAAATGCTGATTAAATGTCCATAGATGTTGATACATGTTAAGTGTCCAGGATCATCACCACTGTCCTTTAGTTAGACCTGATGAGACTTAACAGACCCTACTGCATGTTTCTTTTCTTGTTTTGTTCAGCACTTTGAGTTTCCTTGTGTATGAACTTTGCTATAAAAAATAAACTTGCCTTCCCTTGCATAGATGAAAACGTTCTGAAGGTATAAAAGCAACTGTCAACCCTCTTGAGCCTTTCACGTTTCTTTCATGCAACGTGTTTGAAGAGTGAAAGTGTTTGTGAATGTCATGGAAATATTCATGGAAATAACCCAGATGTCTTCAAACCAGGAAAATCTGTTATAAAAAGAGGGAAAGAGGCCAATAATAAATCCCAATCTGCGAGTGTATTGAAAATGACTCATGGAGACAAAAGCAGCTGAGTTAGCTCCTCTGGGAACGTTGGAGAGACTCATAACAATCAATGTTCTCACTGACACTGCAACCAAGAATCAACTTAAATAATATTTTTTTTAAAACATCATAAATTAATTGTTCACAAAGCGTATTGTCGCAATAGTTCGATGTGCATACCAAAACAGAGTGAAAATAAATGACTAAACCTTGAAGTACCACTTCGACACCACACGAGGGCGCCATTGTTACAAGGTTAAAGCTGGAGTGCCTTACTTTTAAACCAACATTGTAATAACTCTCATAACTGGTTGTATCACTAGAATTCACATGCATCTAACGTTGGCCTCAGTCACACCTGTATCAGCTTTTTCTGTATATTAAAGAGTACCAGCCTCACTCAGCCAATCAGACTGTTGTGGTCAGATTTAAACAAGACACTTTCTGTCGGGACAAACGTAATATATTTGTGAAACAAAACAAAAAGTTAGGTACCACAGCATATTTAAACTTTATTTTGTTTCTACTTCTGGGTGGATCATGAAGACTATTGGTCCTCCCAATTGTCAATCATTCTGCTGATAGTTCTCGACAAATTAGACCAGAGAGTTTTTTTTTTTTTTTTTAAGTGTGGAGGGCGGTTTTTTCCTAAAATTATTGAAAAATCTTCCTATACGTTCAAGTAAAATGTATGTTCTTGGGCTGATAACATAATCAAAAAATCATAAATAAAAAAATCATACTGAAACGCTGCTTTGAAACAGTGAACGATGGTACAATGAAGTGGTCTGAGGCGATAGTCCGAGTTAAATGTCGTCTCCCAGCAGCAGAGGCTGCAGGAAGAGGCCAGCTGTCCCCAGGATACACACCAGGACAAAGACCCACAGGAAGATCCTGTCAATGACCATGGCCACATACTTCCAGTCATCTTGGACCTACAGAGGGAGACACAACAACAGTTTGAGCTGAAAGAGTCATCAAAACAAAACAAAAACATACCAACTCATTGTGCTTTTAGTTTTTAAACAGCTAGTCACTCAGGGATTTAATAAAGTAGTTTACCGTAGTAAACTGTACTGTTTATTTATTGTGAGGCTGCAGCTGATGATATGTCAGTCATCGGGTTTGTTATTACATTGGATTAATCAGTTTACTGTTTTTACATCGTTAACCTATGTTGTTATAATTTTTGTGGAAAAGTAGAATTCATATTTTCAATCAAATAAATGTATTATTATTATTAATATTAATATTGTTTTAATAGAAACTTCAGAGTTTGACATTCAGCCAAGCCGTGACACAAGTAAGAACTGACTTTAGTGTATAAATAATGTTAAAAAAATAAACTGTATATTTTCCACAAATTATTGTTTTATCATCGTATCTTGTGTATAATATTAGAATGTTAAAATGTAGAAAACTAGATTAAAAACACCAGTAAATGTGTTCTTAAATTACTAATTTCAGGAAATCTGAATTTTTCTTTTATTAAATCTTTTATTTGATCTAATTTTAAGTGGATTTAGATGTTTCATTATGATTTAAGTATAAACATTGTCATTACAGACATATGTCTTCCCATTGCAAGAATGTTTTGCTTTTTTCTAGATTACTTTTCTTGCCGTTGAAATACATATTTTCTTATAATTGTTGCCCAAGAAAGGCTTACAACGTGATCCAAAATAATCCTGCTTTTGGGTTCCCATCCCTCCTATGTTGAGAACCACATCGGACAATACAGCTCGCTCACCTCCTTTGCCTCATTCTGTAGCCTCATGTTCTCCGCTATGTATTTGACGCTCTCGATGGCATCTCTTACTTCCGGAGAGATGGGCAGCAGAGACATCAGCCCCCCATCCAGAGATTCAGAGCTGGAGCATTGACTCCCTCCCCTGGAAGCCCTGTCCCCTCCGCTCAACGCCCCCAATGTGCCCATCCCTGCACTCCCACCTCCAGAGTCCACAGGCAGTTTTCCTGACCGCTGGTGCCAACATGGGCTACACCTATCCTCGCAGCAGACGCCCCCAGTGGCCGCACCTTTGCTTCCATTGAGCTTGTTCGAATGCGATAACTCCTTGTTGAGCAGTCGTTGGCGGTTGGCGAGACTGGACACGACGCTACACACCAGAGCTTGCGGCTTGTGCTTCTTCTGCAACGCGGCACCCGAGTGAATCGCGCAAGACTTCGCGTGCGGGAGATTGTCGCCGGATACAGTCACCCCATCTGGATCTCTTTCCGGTCTGGTCATGAACATAATCTTGGGTAGAAAACTCAGAAAGACTGTTCGCACCCAGCGTGGCATGGTGTGCGTTTTGGGCGTGCGGTAATGGACATTTAGAACGAAAACCGTGATGACGATAGAGAGGGTGACGAAGATCATGGTGAAGAGAAGGTATTCGCCGATCAAAGGAATGACTAAAGAAGTTGAAGGAATAGTTTCAGTGATAACCAGCAGGAAGACGGTCAACGACAGGAGCACAGAAATGCATAGAGTGACTTTCTCGCCGCAGTCGGACGGCAGATAAAACACAAGCACGGTCAAGAAGGAAATGAGAAGACACGGAATGATCATGTTGATGGTATAGAAAAGTGGAAGTCGTCGAATGTACAAGGAATAAGTTATATCGGTGTATATTTCTTCGCAGCAGTTGTACTTGATGTCGTGTTTGTAGCCAGGAGCGTCGATGATCACCCACTCGCCACTTTCCCAGAAGTCTTTGAGGTTAATGGTGGACCCGATGAGAACCAGGTCGATCTTGGCCTTGTCGTAAGTCCATGAGCCGAACTTCATGGTGCAGTTTTGGTAGTCGAAGGGGAAGTATGTCACGTCAATCTTACAGGAGCTCTTGAAAATCGCCGGCGGGATCCAAGTGACATCGCCGTTGTAGCGGAGAAGGGCTTTGGTTTTATCATCCACCTGGAAGTCTCCCACTGCACTGCAAAAAGAAGGGTCATTATTGAATGACATTGATATAGATTATTACACATGATTTAGTTTAGCCCAAATGTGGCTTTTTATTATTTTAGTTTTTACAGTTCAAGGTATTTTTGACTTGTGTCCTCCCCAAATATTAAGAATTCAGAAATGTTTAGCAGACCTGGCCACGTATTTATAAGAAGAACATTTAACAGATGGCATTATTATTAACTTTCTGGCAGTGGAAAACCAACTGCATGATTTCATGGAATAGAAGGCGAAATTATACTTTGGATTCTTAGTGGAATTGTATCCTATTTATTCCATATTTTTCACATTTCTATCTCAAAATAAATGCATCCTCCTGGATGTGGTATGTAAGCCCAATGTTATGTTTTGTGACACGATTATTTTCACATCAGAAATGCTTTATATTACAATAATATAATTTTTTTGGCCATAAACAATTGCTTGGTTAATTTGTACCAGAGACTGGCTATACACCCTCACCAATATTGGACTAACCCATGTAATGATTATTGGTTGTGTGCAAGTACAGTATGTCTCTCAAAAATGTTTGAAAGGTTTCGAGATCTTACTTGTTATAAAGAACGATGTCTGGTTTCCAAATGCGGCTTGAAGGAACTCTGATGAATTCCACACCTCCAAATTCTTTGGGATTCCATTTCAGTTTGTAGTCATTCCAGATCTAAAACGATATATAAACAACATGCTCCAGAACATGATGCATCAGTTCATAAGACAAAAAGATTTGATAAAACTCTCAGAGAACTTTCTGACTGAGTTTATTATTCATGTGAAAGGTTCTACAGTAGGTTATTATGTATGAAATTATCCTTATATAGTATGTAAAAAATTTTATTTTTATACATTTAGATAATTAAAACAAAGACCTGGTGCACTGGTGTTGGGGTGACCTTCTTTAAATAAGAAAAGATCCAAATGGCACTCATAACTCATAGCTTAAACATGGAAGACAATAAAATACTTGAACTACTTGCTGAATTAAAATAGCTGCTGGGGAAAATGTACCGCTTTCTTTCTCGTTTTGATGAATGGTGCTTTTGAGAAACTGAAGCAGTTAATGAGTTATGAGAGACTAAAAGAGAAGGCTGTTTCAAAACACACAACACAAATCTGCTTTAATGTAGACTGTATGTGCACAATATGTACATGGATGCATGGAATATTATATTTGTAGCACTTGAAATAAAATATATATATGTTTGAAACTCCAGAATCAATACATGTTTTAAAAGCTGGCCTTATGAATAATTCAGCCTGAGCTATCTGTCCAGCAGAGGACAATCATCTGTGACACACACTTGGATCCATACCTAACCTTGTTCAAGGTCCATTTGTACACAGCAAACTTACATGCCTCAGCCAAAGATTGGTCTCCATGATCTGATTCACTTCATCCTAAAGTACAAACAAGAAAACACTTTCATTTAATTGAAAGGACAATTTAAATATTCTTTCTCCTTTCTCCATCTAAATAAACCTTTTTTGACTAGAAAAACTGAGTCATTACAAATGTACACATGTTTTTTGTTGTTTTGTTTTGTTGAAATCCGACCAATACGGCCCAGGACCACATGGAACAATTCCCTGATTGTGCATTGATAGGTGCTGCTGGGCCAGATGAGCTTTTTATGGCCTAGATGAGCTGATGTGGCCTGGCTGTAATTGACACAGGCAGAGCACGACCAATCACAAGTCGGTCAGAGGCATCAGGTGTGGGATGGGGAATAACAGTCATCCATCAGTGCTGGGAGATGCAATAAGCTGTAAGTGTGCAAGCAAATATATTGTAGTCGTCTTATTTGTTAACACCGACACTGGACTGGCAGATGTCCAATTACAGCCGCATGTGCCAAATTATAGAGAATAACAATTAAACTGGAAGCAGGGTTCTGATTTACACTCTTTGATAAAGCATAATTAATTCCGCCTCATTAGAATAACAGCTCATTAAAATCTCAGTTTCAATGTTTAAGTGGAGCTATCTTAAGAGTAGGTTTTTATCACCTCTTTTTTGTATTAAAGCGAGTACAAACTGCCTGCCAGACGTCCAAACTCCACGGACAAATGGGCCGGACAATTGATGATGGAGGAATGGCTAAGTCAGCACCATGGAAAGCTGACATTTTCCCTTCTGCCCTATGGTTACTGGAGATGTATTACTTTACACTAAGATTATCAAATGTCTGTTTCTGTCCGAAAGATTCAAACTTCACACTCTCCATCACCGAAAGGCAACTTACCACTTTGACCAGCTGTGACATGGACAGTTCAAACTGCACTATGACTGGGTCGGACACATTCTCCACTGGTCGTATGTACTGGTTGTAGTTGGAGAATATCACAGAGAACAGCTTGTGCTCGGCATCTGAACCAAAGGCTCCTAAGGTCAGACAGGTCAGCAGTATGAGGACATGTTAGGATTGCAATCTACATGTATTGCTGCCATCAAAATTAAGATTGTAAAAAACTACTACTACTAGCATTCAGACGGCATAATTTCAAATGTTATTAATCTAAAACACTTAAATCACTTTTGAACCATCATACTAAGCAACAAGTATTCAATGTTACAATGTGTACAAGCTTAAGTCTCAGTTTTACTCACCCAGTTTCAGAGCTGCTGAAAGGAGAGATACGGAGCAGAGAAAAGTGACCGGCTTCATGGTTGGGGCGGTGGAGACGGCCACATGAGCCTGGGCAGCTGTGAGCACAGAGCTCCGTGAGCAAACAGGAGCAGTGAAAGGAGGGAGTGAGGAGCTAAAGCAGAGAGGTGAGGGCAGAGGAGAGAGAGGCCCCTGTGCGTGTGCTGTGCGTGAGTGAAGGCGTCAGGAGAGACCAGAAAGCACTGCATTGTACTTCCTTAGAAAGACAATTAGAACGAACACAGGCCCTTTACGGAAATTAGAAAGTTAGTTGACATTAAGCCATTGTTGACCTTTTCATTTCTCGAGTCTTGCGATGTATTGAATGGGTGAAATAAAAAATCTGCAATAAAAAGTACTTTTATTACCAAAATTATTCTGCAAAAGTGCCAGTTTTGCATGTGTTTTTGACACCCTGAGAGCCAGTGTGTACCTCCTGAACCTTTTTTTGCTTTAGAATCTTGGCATTTAACAGATCAATATTTATAGTTTTTAATAGGATCTTGCAGTTGATGTGCCAACTCCATAAAATGACGCAGCCTCTGTAATAAAAGAAAAAAAAAGAAAAGAAAAAAACTTGATGCTGGAGGTAAATGAAGTTCAGAAAGAAGATAGAACCATAAGTGATTGCTAACAAATACATCACCCAAATGAAGATTTGACAAAAGAGCCAGCCGTCTGCAGAATCTGTAACAAGCTCACTCAGCACACGGCAGTAAGAGATGTGAGTCTTCAAGTATTTAACAGATTGTGGTGAATAAATGTCATTTATATTTTCGCTTTCAGCCAAGAATGTATTTTACTTAATGAACATTCAACAGAGAATAAAATCGATATACGTTTTGTTTTTTTCATTCTTCTTAAAGACAGTGTCTTTATAGTCGGGGTTCTTCTCATGCAATAATCACCATAACGTAAAGCCACATCTTAAGTATTTGATCAAATGTACACCACATGTTAAATAGAATGGAACACACATGTTTGTATTTATTTCATTACTTTTATTTCATTAATTTTTAATATGTTTAAATGTCCACTCACGTCATTGCAGATTTCTTTGTTAAATTGCTACAACCTCACCAGCAAAGGCTCTTCTATATGTGGACATACATAAATCTAATTCTAAAAGTTAAAAATAATGTCTATCATAGTAAAAATCGTGCGGCTCTGGCTGGTCTTAAGATTAATACAATGCAGTTACAACAGTAGCTTATACAACTTGTGCTTTCACAACATAGTTCTAAAGATATGCTTGTGTGTTTTAGTCCAATGAGTAAAAGTGTGCATACTGTTGATCAGATTGAGAAATCTGACCATAGTTTACTTTCTCCTTTTTTGCTAAATTACACATTGTTTTAGCCAGGTTTTATGACTGCAGGTGTTTTCTGGTTCATAATAAATATGTAAACAAAAACCATTTAAAATGTGTAAATCAAAATATAACATGATTGATTGATTAGTGCCATGATACATGTTCAAGTCTGGTCTGGAAATGGGAAAATCACACTTTTAATGGACTGCGTATAACATTGAGGTAAAACCAACATGTCTCCTCTTGCACATGTCACGCAGACTCATCAAATACGTGGTATCTCTGAGCTGGGCTGCTGATGAGGAATTATCTGACTTTGAAAAACTGGTTGAAGAAACAGGCCAAGTGTGCCTACCACACACACAATAACAAAGATCCACAAGAATAAGCGGTCCACCACCATGGCCACGTATTTCCAGTCTTCAATTACCTGCATACATACATGTATCATTTCATTATTGAGAACATTTGATGAAAGCTTTGGGTCAGAAGATCAAAACAGCCTATACTGACACGTGAAAAAAGATGCACTTACATTCTGGTCATCGTCATCTCCCATCATGTGTTCAGCCACAAAGCGTACACCATCCACTGCCTCCCGCACCTCACTGGCCCAGTCAGAGGGGCTTCTCTGGTGGAGCTCTTGTGCTGATGGAAAATCCCTGGGAGTAAAGTCCTCATTTTTGTTATAGCTAAAACGAAGTGATGATGCCATATTCTTATGTCTTGGGGTTGAAAAAACAGAGGAGTCAGACGGCAATACAACTGAAGACATAGTAAATCCTGCTTTAGGTTCAACTGGACATTCTGAGCCCAAAATGGCCCTCCTCGCACGGAGACAGCGTTGCTGACGGAGTCTCTGCCGTGCAGAGTTATTGCTCGGCCGTCTCATGAACAGGAGAGTAGGCAGTTTGACTAGAAATACAAGCTTGACCCAAGATGGCATGGTGTGGGTACTTGGGGACCTATGGTGTACATTCAGCACACAAACACTCGTAATAATGGAAAATGTCACCAAGACCATAGTAAACATTAGGTATTTGCCAATCAGCGGGACATCAAATGAAGTTGGAGGGACTATTTTGGATATTAACAAGAGAAAAACAGTGAGAGCCAAAAGGACCGAAATGCAGAGTGTTATCTTTTCTCCACAGTCGGACGGCAGGTAAAATACCAGGATAGCTAAGGAGGTAATCAGCACACAGGGGATGATGAGGTTGATGGTGTAGAACAGAGGTTTCCTCTTTATGATAAAATCATACGTCAGGTCCACATAGGTTGGATCCAGAGGATTTACAGTCCGTCTCCCGGGCAGAGCCAAGATGTCCCACTCCCCACTTGGGGTAAAGTCATCCATGCTGGCCACCTCAGACTTGAGAATAAGGTCTAGTTCTGTATGGTCATACGTCCAAGATCGAAACTTGAGGGTGCAGTTTTGTTGGTCAAAAGGGAAATGTTTTACCTCAATCTTGCATGCACTTTTGTAGATGGCTGGTGGGAGCCAGTTTACAGTGCCATTGTTAAGGACTATTACATTTGTGAACACTGTTACTTCGTATGTTCCATCTGCACTATGTAAAGAATAAAAAAGAAAAACAACTTTTCAATACAGGCATACAGTATTTTATCTTTTATTTTAGCTCAAAAGAGTTGATCATGTAAGTACTTACTTATTATACAGTACAACATCTGGAAGCCAGACGTGTCTGGATGGAATGCGCAGCTTGTCAATTCCTTCATACTTTGAAGGGTCCCAGGCTAACCTGTAGTCCACCCAGTGCTACAGAGACAGAGAGAGAGCCAATGTTATGGTTCATTAATTTACAATCCTTTTCTATGACATAATTACGGAACTACTTTGTTCCGCATTTGGAACAAGAACAAATTATATAGCTTAATTCAAGGGCATTTAGTTACGTGTATGTCACCCACATGAATTCATGGAAATTAAAAACTAAAAGGGCATACTTCAAAATGCTCTTTATTGAGGTTAACATGGAGGCTTATAACTAAATAAAAAAATACATTATATTGACGAGGTGAGGGTCATTGAGAAAAAAGTATGTTTCAATTCAGGTTGTATGCCAATAAAAACATGCAACATCATTTGAGGCAACCTTAAAGTCTATTTGTGTCTAAAATGTTACATACTAAGGATGCTTTCACATCTACAAGTGGACTCGGTTCACTTTAGAAGCAAATAACATCACTAAACTGTTTCAAAAGCAGACTATCTTCTGGAACAATGTACACAACACTATTTACCATTAACCCGTTCTGGTTCATGTAAGAGAATTCTGGTTCACTTGATACTAACTGAACCTGCACAAAGTCACTTTTGAACTGAGTTCATATCATTAGTGTGAACGCACAACAAAACTTACCTGAGTAAGCCACACATTTGTCGTCATAATCTGCTCTCTTTCATTCTGAAAAAAAGAAGTGGGAAAGAGGTTCTCTAGGGTCTGTTTTTCAATGATCCTAATATTCACATAAAGGCTGTAGTCCTGTGTGCAGTTCAGAGTAACTTCGAATATCACATCATATGTGTCTGTGTTTTCTAAGAGGAATTGCTCTTTATGGCTCATCTTTTTTGCATTGGCATCATTCTTGTTGACGAATGGTCACAAATTCCCACTTGACTCCAGGTTGAGGTGACCCAAGCTCATAAATGCATTTTAAGAGGCGTCAGAGTCGATGGGGAGGAACCCACAGTAAATCAGCATCTGGCTTCAGCTGTTTTTTTTGGTTTCCATCAAGATCCAATCTAAGCGTAACAGATTCTGAGATCACTGCCTCTCTGATCATCTTTCATCAATTTTCACCATTAGACACTTGACCCCTGTCAGAATATTGGATGTGTCCTAGTATTGTATAATATTTATTAATCCCACATTTATAAAGGTGGTGCATTTACCACACTGATGAGTTGAGCCAGGGACACTTGCAATATGACTGCCACTCTCTCTGTCCTGTTGACAGCTGGACGGATGAGTGGATTGTAACGTTCCTTTCCCAGCAACCAGTTCATAAGGCGCTCCTCGGAATCAGCTCCACTGCTGCCTAAAAGCATTCAAAAATAACAAAGGCAGCACTTTTTAACCAGCATTTTTATTTGTATGCCTATTTTGCCCAGCACTATAGGACTACAGAGAAGATTGGCAGTAATGGGCAGCAGTTCCATTAATCCTGGATACAAAAAAATGTAAGCTTGACACATGAAGCGGAAGGGAGGTCAGGCATGGTAATAGAAATTGGAAGCAAGTGTGGATGAAAAGGTCACAATTTAAAGTGGAAAAGTTGTACCGCATCTTAAAATAGTGGCTTTCATTCTGGCATTTAAACCGTTTAAGGAGGATATTGATATATTTCCATCCTAATTATATTTTTCATGGCTACAATGGAATATGTGAGTAAAGGAGACTAACATATAACAATGTAATTCTTATACAAACAGGTAAAATAACGTAGCCGAGATTTATATAGACTAAAGGTTTATAAAAGAAAAAGAAAGAAAGAAAACACATTGTAGGAATTCTGATAACGCGTTAAGAATGCAATATCATTACTTACTGTAAAAGAAGGAGAGAAAGCATGCGAAAAGCGGGATAGTCCGCGTCATGGTCCCCGTCCCGTCAGGTCAGGAGAGGTTGTGCGGTGGCGCGGTCTGCATGCCGGTGTGCGCGCTCCGTGTGGGCAGTGCGCTGGCTCCGTGCGCTCTGCTGCTGCTGCTGCTCCTGCTCCTGCTGCTGCTGCTGCTGCTCCTGCTCCTGCTCCTGCTGCTGCTGCTCCTGCTCCTGCTGCTGCTCCTGCTCCTGCTCCTGCTGCTGCTGCTGCTCCTGCTCCTGCTCCTGCTCCTGCTCCTGCTGCTGCTGCCCACAAGTGTCCCGTGTCCGCCGTGTGTGAGAGCCGCTCACACCAGGCTGCACCGCCACGACAGTCCAGACAAATAGGCCTACATGTGTCCCACTAAAGCGAAAAGATGGGATTTTCTGCAATTGATTTTTGTTTTTTTCCCCCATACAGTTCAAGGGGACATTTGTACATTTTTAGTACAAATGTGACTTTTTTACAAGCCTTGTTTAAACAGCGTTACTAAGTTTGTCGTACCCTATCTATTCATTGTGTAAATCAGATATTTTGATTCTTGCATGTTTGACTTCTATCTCCTAGGACTGAAATTGGACTTGATCCCGCCCATTTCTCTATACTTACTTGTTATGTTAATACCCTTTGTAAACTTGTGGATTCTATAAAATATGCTGAATGTGAGTGAGATTGTTTCAGTGTTTGCTTCGATGAGACTTGTCAAACTCAGGCTCGTGGGCCAAATCCAGCCCACAGGACAATGTTTTGTGGCCCCTAAAATTATTTTCAATTATTATTATCTTGAGTTATGGGCTATACCAAGGCATTTTATACATAATCTAAAATCTAATCTTCAGGAATCTTTTTTTCAGGAAAAAAAGAGGTAATCTAATGTAACGTCCCACAGTGGGGAAATTTCAGTGTCATCGTTGCGCACATTACAACAGAAGGAAATAAGAGCTCTCAGATTGCACACATCAAACAGGATCTTTCATTTAAGATAATAGAGAATAACATGAAAAATGTAAGTACAATAGAATATAATAGAATGAAATAACATATAACTCTGGAGCTATATTGCACTTGGTTCAGAGGTATTTACAGATTGTATTGTACTCTTGCAGTAGATAATATGTGCAGGATAAACAATAGAAACAGAATCAGCAGGTAAAAATGACAGAAAAAAACAGATGAATGGATAAGTAGTAATGCAGTAAAAATAACAACAGGTAAAGTGACTATGACTAGTGAGTGAGACTTGCACAGACAACATTAAACAAAATTAAAGATATTGAATATTGAAGAAGATAAGAACGGATCATTTGGTACAAAAAACATTTTGTGAATCAGTATGTGGTGCAGTGAAATCGGAAAATACATTCTTCATCTGAAATGAGATTTGAGGAGACGGGGAGCAGAGCACTATGATGAAGACAGATTTATAGTAGCCACAACGCTTAAAGCCTCATTATAATGGCCAGTAAAGGAACTGTATCAGGATAAAAAAGTAGACCCCAGTCCATGAGATAAATCTAAAATCCATACGTATTATGGATCATTGGGAGAGGATCAATAAGGGCTGCTACGGGTTGGACCTCTCTTGTTTTATCAGCCAAACAACAACCATCGGTCTTATTTGTTTACAGAACGAGACACGTCAAGATGGAGACTCTGGTTGACATTTATATTTACATCCTATTTTATGTTGCAGCTGCAGCTTGATTCACTCAAGTGTAAAATGATACAATCTCCAAAGCAGATATCTTATAGAGCTGCTACTTTGAAATGCTCTCTTCATGAATCAGAGATGCAATTAACTTGCACAGACATCAAGGTCATAACATCAGAAGCAACAATACACATCTTGTCCATGTATTAAAACAAATAACCTTTCTCTTACAATGGTAATACTTCTTTATATGTGTATACTTTTTTATATACAATGAGTAGGTTCAAAGTGTGTATAGAGACACACAGAGAGGAGTACAAAATGGTTTGCACAACTCAACAGCTCCCATCCCATGATTAAAAATAAAAGTCAGATAAAGTGCAGTATGAGCACTTATAGCGTATTGTTTGTGGTAATGCATAAAATGTGGCCACTACAGATGGGCAGAAAGATCAGTGCAGAGTGTGTAGTGATGCGGTCGCTGTGTCGGACTGTTGAGGTGAAGAGCGAGCAGAGAAGAAAAACAGAGCCCTTCATTCACCTGTCTAGGCAAGGCAAGGCAAGTTTATTTGTATAGCACAATTCATGCACAAGGCAACTCAAAGTGCTGAACTAAACTAAAAAAGACTAAAACTAAAAAAGATTTCACAATCCCCCTTCACCCACGGCCTTTACTGCACCCCGTACGTTGGCTGGTTTTACCTACACATAAAAACTTCATCTTGTCAGATTTCAGAAACGAATAAGGACAGGGCCTGGATGGGAGACTGCTGGGTTGGACTGTGTGGCTTTTGCAACAAAAAAACAAAAATTAGGTTTTTTTTTCAACAGACATTTGATTTCTTATGTTTTCCTCGATTGCCACATGTGCTATTTCTCCACTTATTACATACTTGGGGACTGTATATAAAACGGCCATCTTAATTTGATGAAACTAACATAAAAATGATTATGACACAACAGGGGAATTGTTTTACCACGACAATGCCTCATACATTCAGACATGGGACTTTAGGCCTTATTGTTTCTGACAAACTCAGTTGAATTAGAACACAAGCCAGAGAGAGGGAGGCTGCACGAGTACCCCAGAATTACGAAGAAGGACGAGGGACTCCAACACTGCATGCAGTTTAGATTATTTATTGTTACTAGCTATGGAGTTCCCTTTCTAAGGGAAGGGGGAGGGACTAAAGCATTGATAAAGTGATTCATATGAATAGAAGAGGTGTAAAACATGCTGAAACAGTTTCAAAATCATCAAAATTTAAACCAAGTGGTGTTTTAGGTTCCTCTTTTGGTTCAATGCCTGATAGTTCGGGTGTTGCGGGTGGTACCAGAACCAAACAAGGTGAGCTGAGGATGTGGACAGGGAGTGACACACAAATTTTTTGGCATAGCAGGATTGTGTGATGGAAGAGAAATTACTAATCAAAGAAATGCTGCTGTTGCAGTGCCATGTTGCACCACTGCAATCCCACGCTGCAAGGGTTATATATCAAGAAGGCAGTTCATTACCCCAAGTGCTTGGCCACTGTGCCATGGAGTTCCAGCCTCATGTGAAGATATTGATTCATCCGTCATTGGTTGCAGAAGACAATCATGTCCATATCTGAGGCCCATCACAGGACAGTGTTTTTGGGGGTTGCAGTTCAAACAAAAATAATTCCAAATCTAACTTTGGCGGTCACATACATGCCTTATGACTGTAATTTTCTCTCAAATGAATGAAAAAGCTCCATATGAATTGTGACTGAAGCCTTTGGAGTAAAAATAAGCTGCTAGACTGTTTGTGACCTGAGGCTCAACTAACTTTTTCTTTGGTAAAGTTAAAAGGAGGGTATATATCTGTTAATACCCCTATGGGAGTTTTCTAAGGTTACGTTTTTCATAGAGCCATGAAATTCAGTACACATGTTCCTCAAGTCAAGACATGACATTTTTTCCCTCTAACAAACAGGAAGCCCTTCAATTTCAGATTCAGATTCAGATTTATTTATTTGCCATTTGCAGTAAAACCACATTGGAACAACTGTGCAAGACTACCCCAGTGTGCACCAGACAGAGAAGGCGACACACACCAGAGCTCTTGCCACGTCGCTTGGAAAGCGACTCCTCCTCGATCATTTCACCGATTCGCCTCAAAGTCGCTCCACATCATCTCAACACATGTACCATCAAATTGAGTTCAGGGAATTTTGATCAGTGAAACGTTGTTTGAGCAGCGGAGCGGCAAAATGTGAGGTTTTTTTTGGCAGTTTTTGACAACATTAAATTGCACATACAATGTCTGATTTAAACAAAACTTTAATACATTGTTCAACTCTAGGGTCTAGGTCAATTGAAAGTGAAATAAATGAACTTGGCTCATTAGCGCCCCCTACAGATGGTGTCAACATTTTTAGTATGGGAGGGGTTTGAAGTCAAGTTTGTCGTATAGGCATGAAATTTGGTACACATGTTCCTCAACTCAAGACATGAAATAAAAGTTACCATAGCCCCGCCCCCTGACAAACAGGAAGCCCATAAATTTCACTTCAAAATGGAAAAATGAAAAACGATCTTTTTCACACATGTTGGTTGGAAAGCGACTCCTCCTCGGCCGTTTCACAGATTTTCCTCAAAATTGCTCCACATCGTCTAGACACATGTACCATCATTTTGATTTCACAGACTTTTGATCAGTGAAATATTGTTCGAGCAGCGGAGCGCCAAAAAGTGGCATATTTTCTTTCAGTTTTTGACAATAGAAAAATTGCTTCCATTTTCACAAACAAAGTCCGATTTGCACAAAACTGGAATCCATGGTTCAACTCTTGGGTCTAGGTCATTTGAAAGTAAAAAATGTGATATTGGCTCTATAGCGCCACCTACAACAGCCAATTTAAAAACGCCTATGGGTGGGGTTCTAGGTCAAAACTGTCGTAGAGCCATGTAATTTGGTACACATGTTCCTCAAGTCAAGACATGAAATTTCTTTTATTATGGCCAAGCCCTCTGAAAAACAGAAAGCCCATGAATTTCATTGCAAAATGGAAAAATGAAAAGCAATGATTTTCATACATGTCAGTTGGAAAACGACACCTCCTCGGCCATTTGCCTCAAAATCACTCTACGTCATCTCAACACATGTACCATCAAAATGACTTCAGGGAATTTCGATCAGTAAAACGCTGTTTGAGCAGCGGAGAGGCAAAATGTGAGTTTTTGTTGGCCGTTTTTGACAGTATCAAATTTGCTCCTGTTTGCACATACAAAGAATGATTTGCACAAAACTTTAATACATTGTTCAACTCTAGGGTGTTGGTCATTTGAAAGTGAAATAATTGAAATGCCAGAACAGTGCCACCTACACAGCCAATTTAATACGCCTATGGGAGGGGTTCGAGGTCAAATTTGTTGTAGAGCCATGAAACTCGGTACACATGTTCTTCAACTCAAGACATGAAAACAAAGTTATTTTGGCCACGCCCCCTGACAAACAGGAAGCCCATAAATTTCATTGGAAAATGGAAAAATGAAAAGCAATCATTTTCATACATGTCGGTTGGAAAGCGACTCCTCCTCGGCCGTTTCACCGATTTGCCTAAAAATTTCTCCACATCATCTCAACACATTGACCATTAATTCAGGGAATTTTGATCAGTGAAACGTTGTTTGAGCATTGGAGTGGCAAAAGGGACTTTTTTTGTCTTTTTT